AAGGAATGCATAGCTATCTTTCCAACGTTGGCTTTAATCGAAATCCGTCTAAAAAGGTTGGATTTAATGACAAACCACGTTTCCTTTAGCATTTAAAGAAACTGGAAGTGCGCCCGATATATATTGGAAGTCACCCCATCAGCGTGTGGGCAATTTACACTACCAGCCCACTTTGGTAAGATCAAACAAAGCCACACGGAGTTAGTTTTTCTCTTTCCATTGCTCTTGTTTTTCTGTCTTTTTCTTATTTTATCTTTGCTTGTACTTTTTTTACTTTGCATTTTGTGAAACACAAAGAAAAACATCTAAAATATGAGCAAATTTGCAAGTTATCGAGTTGTTTTTATTTTCCGCGCTCAGGCTGACGTAAGTAACCAGAAGTGAAATTTCACCTCCTTAGCAACGCGCGCGAGTGCGCGCATAAATCGGTTAATGGGCCCTTAAATCTCATTCTTTCAAGTTATTCCATATGCATTGTTATCCATTTTGAACCTTGCCAATAGCCATATCATCTCTCTCACTTTCCAATATGTCTCCCAATTTGATAGGGGATTTTCACTTTAAAATAGCAACACCCTTTGAATAAGCTCAGCAAAAATTCTAAATACTTACTTCGTCTGTGAGACTTCACAAATATGGACAGCTCAGCAACAAAGTGTCTACAAGAGAGCAACAAGGTATAAGCTGCCAATATCTTAAATATGTGAGTATCAGAAGTCTTACACAAGTACTATTGTACCATCATTATGATAAATTGCTTTGTTTCACAACCAAAAGAAACATTTGATTTTTCCTGAAACACCGTTATTGGATTTCAACACTGACAGAGTTCATGTTCAGCTACATGCATGTGATGGAAATGTTTTGGCCATGGCCCATACTGAATAAAAATGTTTTAAATGTGCAAATTAAACTTACCCAACTTTTAGTTTTCATTGCTTTTGTAACATTTTAGTCTTTTTAACAGTTAAAAAAAAAAGGAACAGAGTAAGCCCTGTGACAACTTCGTGGAAACCTCAATACAACAAAGTGAAAAAGGGTTGGAAAATGTGGCCCTTATAACAGGGGTTTGTTAACCTGGGGTTCTGTTCTATACATTCTTCTGTTAGTAACTCGGCCATGCCAAAAATAATGTTTGTCATACCAGGGACTTCGTCACAAAGGGGTCTAATAAAGATATGCTTCAAACAAAATCTAGTGAAGTCTGTAATGCACCCTACTGTTTACTAATAGCGTGGAACCTGTATAAGCATCCACCTGTTTAGTGGCCACCTCCCATTTCCATGAGGGTGGCCACTTAAAAGGGGTTCAGCCATAGCAACAGCCAATAGACACTTACCTGTTGTGATCTGGACCACCTGCTGAGTACTTAAAATCAGCAGGAAGCCTGTTCTGTTGCAGATATTGGTGTAGCCGAGACTTGGCATTTACTAATGTCCAGTTTCCATGGAGATGGGCATTCAGATCTACATCTTCAGCCTGAGATATAAATAATGCATCAGAAGATAATATGTGGTAAAAGAGATCAAAATTTGCTAAAAGATCTTGGAGAAGAAATAAATAATTAGATAACAAACTGAAACAGTGTAACAGTGTACAATAAAAGGTGACAGTAACACTTTAATTTGAAAGCATAGAATAATAAATTATTTGCAACATAATATTATCCAAGTTTATACCATGTACCTCTTCAAACTTGCGTTTATTGTACAGACTATAGTGGTAATCTCTCTGACCAGCTCCACTCCAGCCATCCATTTGGTTACCACCAGGTCCTGAACCACCAGTAAACAATATTAATTTTACATACACAGGTCATGTAACAACTTCATTTATATTTGCAAACCATACTTTGCAAACCTCCTCTCTCCACCCAGGTGTACAAATGAGCACCGCCAAATTTAATACAAGGGGTAGCCCTACAATGGACTAGTTGGCATCAATATCCTGTCCAGGGGGGAGTATGAAGACTCTTAGTTGTTTCATGCTACTGAAACCAGAGATAACCATCAGCCTAATGGGCCACTTGGCTTGCATGCAGGTTAGGTAGGTTAAGTCTGCATATGAGTCAAGCGGCCCATCAGGCGGCACTTATCTCCAGTTTCTGTAGTATGAAACGACTAGGAGTATTTCTACTCCCCTGGGATGGGATGCTAGTCCATCACAGGGTTAGCCCCAACATCAAATTTGCTGGTAGCCATTTATACACCTGGGTGGAGAGAGGCACTGCAAGAGTATCTTACCCAAGAACACGACACAATGTCCCAAGCCAGAGCTCAAACCTGGGCCACTCGATCTGGAGGCCAGTGCATTAACCATGAGGTCACTGTGCCTCCTCCTCTAAAAACTTGCGCTAGTATCCTGAATTACTGACATTAGCATCATGAACTATAGTTGGTATTAGCAAAACAAATAGCAAAAGTAAAGGTGTATATACATATCTCTCTAGCCTTTACCAATAAAAAGAAGACTCTGATTACTTTTGTAAACTTTTTCAGTGCTGAGCTCAAAACTTTTTTTTCGTTACGAAACAATTTAAACTGTAAGTGTTCATGTATTTATCACATACCCTGTTGGATCATAAGAGGTGGTGGTTGTGTAGGGAAGGGATTACCCTGGGATGGTCCCTGCTGTTGGTTTTGATTTGGTGTCAATTGAGTATGAGGAGCTGGTGCTACTGATGATGGAAGCTGTTGCTGCGGTTGCTGAGCTGGCATGGCTGATGCTGGAGCTGTTGGTCCTTCTCCCTGTTTCCCAGACATATAGATGAGTCACTAACATAATTATCATGGACAAAATCTAGAACATTTTTTACTCAGTACTATCCTATAACAGTTTGAATCAGTATTTTATCAGCACATCAAGACTCAGAAGAATGCCATCATTACAACTATTACTTTTAATTCATCTAATTGCCAGAAGTGTTTTCCTTATATTTACAAAGACAGGTAAATTTTCTGATCATTNGTTAAGTCTGCATATGAGTCAAGTGGCCCATCAGGCGGCACTTATCTCCGGTTTCTGTAGTATGAAACGACTAGGAGTATTTCTACTCCCCTGGGATGGGATGTTAGTCCATCACAGGGTTAGCCCCAACATTAAATTTGCTGGTAGCCATTTATACACCTGGGTGGAGAGAGGCACTGCAAGAGTATCTTACCCAAGAACACAACACAATGTCCCAAGCCAGAGCTCAAACCTGGGCCACTCGATCTGGAGGCGAGTGCACTAACCATGAGGTCACTGTGCCTCCTCCTTTAAAAACTTGCTCTAGTATCCTGAATTACTGATATTAGCATCATGAACTATAGTTGGTATTAGCAAAACAAATAGCAAAACTAAAGGTGTATATACATATCTCTCTAGCCTTTACCAATAAAAAGAAGACTTTGATTACTTTTGTAAACTTTTTCAGTGCTGAGCTCAAAACTTGTTTTTCATTACCAAACAATTTAAACTGTAAGTGATCATGTATTTATCACATACCCTGTTGGATCATAAGAGGTGGTGGTTGTGTAGGGAAGATATTACCCTGGGATGGTCCCTGCTGTTGGTTTTGATTTGGTGTCAATTGAGTATGAGGAGCTGGTGCTACTGATGATGGAAGCTGTTGCTGCGGTTGCTGAGCTGGCATGGCTGATGCTGGAGCTGTTGGTCCTTCTCCCTGTTTCCCAGACATATAGATGAGTCACTAACATAATTATCATGGACAAAATCTAGAACATTTTTTACTCAGTACTATCCTATAACAGTTTGAATCAGTATTTTATCAGCACATCAAGACTCAGAAGAATGCCATCATTACAACTATTACTTTTAATTCATCTAATTGCCAGAAGTGTTTTCCTTATATTTACAAAGACAGGTAAATTTTCTGATCATTTTTTTTTTTTCGCAACTTAGTTACTCTTTAGTATATGTATCAAAGCAATCATTGCGTACTTCACCTTTTTGACAACATATTGCCAACTTCTTTGTACAGTTTTAACTTAAAATATTTGTTTAAAATAGCACCCTGGTGTAATTTACTTTATCTAAATGAACATAGTGACCATTGAAAGACTTACAAATAAATCATCTGGGAATGAGTCTGGAGGAATGATTCCAGCTCCGATCAAGAAGCCACAAAAATCCTTTGCTGCATTAGTTTCAGCATCTTTCTTGTTAGAAGCACTTCCAAGACCCACATAATCAAACCCCTCTATCTGAACCTATGTGAAGCAAAAGTACACACATAGAAAAAAAACAAAAAAACAATGTATACAATATTGCCTCCTCATAGTATGAAGAGTACTGACCTCTTAGGTTCCATCCACACTATGCCACAGGAATTTGAAAGCTGAGGTTTTTCCGTTGGCACTATGCCAAAGACATTTAAAAATACAACAATCACCAGTCATTTTGGATTTGTGTTTGAGGAAAACTTGGTCAGGGAAATCACATAATAAATTGTTATTGTGACACCACCTTTTTTGAAAAGCTGCATTTTCAAAATGTCTTCCCTCCACATAAAAGTGAAAAGCCAGCATTTTCAAATTACTCCAGCTTGAAGAGCGTTTTCGAAAAGCTACATTTTCATGACGGATTAAGGTGGATGGTAGGCCTAACCGTAGAAATATAGAGCTACATTTTCACATTTCTCCGGTGTAGTGTGGACACTGCCTTGATTTACCGCAGGTCCAAAAACCATATATGGAATAGTTTCCACATCAAACAGTAAGTTATTATTCCAAGTCATTTAGCCTGGTCAGTGTCGCTATGTACTGGCTTCAAAAGTGGAGAGAGCAACATATAGTAGAGGGAGCTAGCTCCTTCAAGCAATATTTTAAGCCTAGCACAGTATGCAGCCAATTAATGTCCCTTTTGCTTGGAAACACACTGAAATACGCACTTCACATAATTATACATGAATAAAATGGATAGCGGATATATGATGTATGGATATCTACCGTGCAAATAACGTCAGACTGTCCGATTACATATATCCTCATTCCTGGAACTACAGTATGAATACTTGCTGCAGAACTCTGTATACTATTAATTAATTAATAGTACTACAGCTCTGTGTAGGGTTAACATATAAGTATATGTTAACCCTATAAACGTGTCTTTATTTAATTATATGTTTCTCCACAGTTCAATTATATGATCTTTCATAAATTCACTTGTTTACAGGATGTTCTTACGATTTTCTAGATAACACTGCTGTTTAATATTTAAGTTTAAATACTGTACACTCCCTTACATATTTTCATCTCAATCCGTCAAACAAAGAAAAATAACCAATACGTTACATGACTAGAAGCATTTCTGAGAAGCATTTTAAAAAACGTAAGCTTACATGTACATGTATCTGAAGCAATTATTCTCAATGGCGTTTTCAAAGATAGCTGTACAAGCACCCTTTCGCTTTCGTTGCAGATAAAAACGACCCTAAATATCGTCAGTTGGAATTCTCTAAGAAGAATAACTTTACCTGGAACTTGAACGTTCCCTGCGTAGAAGGTCTTTCTGTGTAAATAGGTCTGACTTTGCGTTTTCCACAAAAAGCATACAAGAAGTTTTTGAATTGTGTGGCCGCCATCTTGCCGGGACCACGGGAGCACTAGGTCGAGGCTGTCTGGTTGAAGATTTCATAACTAGGGTAGGGAGGGAAATCTGGACCAAATAGCCAAAAGATCTATCCTGGGACCATATTCCCCAGAAAAAAAAGCTAAATTTTCTTTCACAGAAACGTTTTTAAAAATTCTTCATGTTCCGGATACAAAATAAAATTATTCATTCTATCATTTCTTGACAAAAATGCTTTCTAGAAAGCTCTTTTCAAGAGATACCCTCCACCCACTACTCGGTATTCTTTTGTCATATTTGTATCACGTGATCATATCGCTTCACTGGGCGATTCCTTCATTCTTGAATACAATTTCGGCGCGTTGCCTTTTGCAGTAAGTTTCCAAAATGGCTGAGGTAGAAGCTCGTCAAATAGCCATTCTAGAAACTGTTGAAGACATTCAAAATCGGCGTGATCAAGTTTTACGGCGCTATGCGGAGTTCAAAGAAGCAACTCGACTCCGGCGGCAGCGATTAGAAGATGCGAAACGCTACCATCAATTCAAGCGTGATGCAGATGAAGTCGAAGCGTGGATCAACGAGAAACTGCAGATCGCTTGCGATGAATGCTACAAGGATCCAACTAATCTTCAGGTAACTTTTTCTAGGGTTTTGAGAGAACTGTGATCGGGAAAGTAGTGTTTTATAGTGTTGAACACCAAACTTACTTCTCCCTCGACAACGCCCCGCGCAAACCCGAATACAAAATTAATCTAGATCTGTCTGGTTAAATTGCAGTTATGTGGAATACACCGTGAAGCTAAAATTTTCGTCCCCTTGTTATTTTTAGGTTTATCTACGAGCATTCTTTCTTTAAGGCAATTAGAAACGTTTGAGAATCAAAGAAGCTTGCATTGTAAATCCAAGCGTGCGTGACCAGACAGCACAGTGGGTCTGAAATTGATTCATAGAATCAAAGTCTCTTGTAGGTGTTCACAATATCAAGATGCATCAAGAAGAGCAAATCGCAATAAAATTTGTCCTCGAATCGCTATTTCCCGGGCTTGTTATTTCTGAATAGTGCAGTACCAACAAATTACGCTTGTATGATCATTGACCATGAATGTTATACCATTACACTCACGACCTTGGGAAGAAGATTTTTATTGTTGTTTACAGGACAGGAGTAATTTCTGTTGTCTTAAATCATGCTATCACTCTTTATTTTATTGATTTCAAAATTATTCGATGTGGCATTTGAATGCCTGGCAAGCTATTATTGACATAATTTATTCTGGTGTGCTTGCATGTTATGAAAGGAACATTACATGTTAATTTCACAAAGTGGTCACGCGGGAGGGAAGCTTGTCTTTGTGCAGCTCTCCATGTCGTGATTGAAGAATTGAACTTGTTTTTTGCTGCTGAATTCCAACTATGCATAGGAATACAAATCACCTCTTTATGGAAAACACAGTTGCAATGTTTTATTTGAGACATCCTTTTTTCCATGATCCAATAGTCCAATGCATGTGTTAGTTGTGCCTCGAAAGATTTCTATTGAAAAGAAAACCTGGTTGCTCTGCACCACCTTGCTGAAATTATTAAAAGTATTTTTACCATAGTTTTGTGAAAGTTCAGTCTGAAGCCAGGTTGATCTGTAATCTCTTTATTATTTCAGGGAAAACTTCAGAAGCATCAGGCTTTTGAAGCAGAGATCTCAGCTCACAGCAATGCTATTGTTGAACTTCAAGAGAATGGAGAAGGCATGATCAGTGAGTCTCATTATGCCTCTGAACTTATCAGAGTGAGTAGTCATTTTATCACTATTCCATGTTTTCAAGTTGTTTTTGTTATTGTTGAGTGTATTTTTTGGAAGCCATGTGTAACAACTGTGGCACCTGTACCATGAATTTTGTCACAGACTTAGAATGCACAGTGTGGGTTGACGTATGGCTAGCTCAACATTGTTTGCTGGATCAAGTAAGCCCTGTATGACTGTGTTGTGTTTATAGGCAGGACACTTTTCATCTCAGTGTAAAATTGATGCTGGCAAATTTAATTCTGGGGCTACATGTAGCACTGCAATAGACTGGCATCTTATCTAGGTGGAAGTAGAAATACTTCTAGGCATTTTATGCTACTGAAATCAGAGATAAGCACCAACCAAAGGCAACTAGGCTCCAATGCAGACTTAGAGTACTTTGATTTTCCTTGTCATTGAAATGTTATTTTGCTCTATGGATACTTCTAACATTACTATGTAAATGTTTATCTGACAGGAGCGGCTTGATTCCCTCATTAAGCTGTGGGAGCTACTGCTTTCTAAGTCAGCAGAGAAAGGTCGCATGCTTCTTTTCACTCAGAAAAGAGTACACTTCCTCCGTGAAACAGAAGAAGTCATGTCCTGGATTTTGGAGAAGGTAACATCCTGTTTGCAAAGACGTGCTAAAAAAGGTTTTATACTATCCAAAGACTGATATGTCTTTCTTCCATTTTAACAGAAATCCTAGATTTTGTTGTATAGTTAAACTGCAAATTATGCTGATCTCCTTCTTGACTTAGAGAAATTATACACGTCCTGTGTCAGTGGTCACTCACACTGATTCTAAGACCATAATGTGGAAGTGTTCAAATGGCTTTTCCAACAACTTTTATAACTTCGAGGAAACAGTGTTAGGTAGATGGTAATGCTCAAAAACATCCACATATCTAGGGCGTTCATGCCAAAGGTTGCATGTAAAATGTAGGTATTGATGTGACATTCCTTGACAGGTTAAAATGTGATTGTTACATTTCAGGAAGCAATTGCCACTTCAGAAGAGGTTGGAAGAGACCTTGAACATGTTGAAGTGCTGCAGAAGAAATTTGATGACTTCTTAAAGGATATCCAGGCCAATGAGTCTAGGATCACATACATCAATGATCTTGCTCATCAACTGGGTGATGAAGGCCATCCAGATATAGAACTGATCAGCACAAAGCAAACGGTAAGGAATTAGAATTCTTGAAGTCAATGTAACACCTCACCTAGGCGTGCAATATGCTTTCAGTTTTTGACTTGTTATTTTGGGTGACAAAGATGTGTTTCAGACTCATCAATGTTACTGTTAACAATAAACTGTTTCCTCGTTCATGCAGGAAGTTAATGAAGCATGGGAAAGGTTGAAGATGCTGGCACTAAAACGCCAAAAGAGACTTGCAGGAGCTCAGCAGATACACAGCTTCTATCGGTAAAAAGTTCTGTGTTAGTACTGTACATGTGTGTAACTAATATTTTAGATAGGTGTGACCTTTTGGATTGAAATGCATTCATAGTTAAGGTTTGTTGCATGTAAATGTTAGAAAAAAAAGTATAGTAACTTCTCCACTTGATTTGCAGGCTTCTGTTATGAGTCTGTTTCCTGTGATTTATTTGGCCAAATACATTTCAATGCAAATACATTTACAAATGTAACATTTTGTGACAAGCTGTAAGACTCAGTTTGGTTGTTGTAGTCATCACCTTCATCGTCATCATTAAGACCTCGACTACTTAAATTTTTTCTTATTGGAAAAAGAGCATGAACATTTCTAATTCCTTTTTTCTTTTCTTTTCTTTTTTTTTTTTCGAACAGTGATGCTGATGAAACCAAGAACTGGATCAATGAGAAGGACAAAGTGCTGTCTTCAGATGACTATGGAAAGGATCTTGCCAGTGTCAATGCCCTGTTAAGAAAGCATGAAGCGTTAGAAAGAGACTTAGCTGCAGTGGAAGACAAGGTAATGATTTTCTCTTTGTGAAAACCCAGTTTTAATATTTAGACAATGGAAATTTGTGTCCTATCTTACTTGGAATTATGAATGTGATCTACATTTAGGAGTACATGTAATTAACTTTGATTTGTAGTTTTGAGATAAAGACTTGAGACCAGCATGTATTAAGAGGTACATGCATTTGTTAACCCCATGGTTTTTTTTTACCATATCTTCACAGGTGACAGCCCTTGGCCAGGAGTCAGATCAATTGCAAGAAGCCCATCCAGACAGTGCTGATGAAATTGCTGCAAAGCAAGATGAGATAGTCACGGCATGGGGAAACCTCAAGGACAAGGTGGGCTATATGGATTTATCATAATTACTTCCGTTTTAGGTAGCAATTGTACATTGTTAAATATCTGCATGTTTCAGTTGAGAAGCAAGAAATTGATTTTGTTTTGTAGTATCCTTGGCTAATGTTTATCTCTTTTCCATCTGTGTTAGTTTTCTATGTGCTCCAAATATTAATGTACTGATCCAACTGTATTTCTTGATTTATTTCAGTCTGGAGTAAGAAAGACAAGGCTAGAGGACTCATACAGGCTTCAGAGATTCATCAGTGATTACAGGTAAAATGCAGACTTACGCTCACCTGATAATTTGACTGATTGCCGTTTTTTCCTCTCCATTGTACAACTAGCTTAAATCACATTGGCATAAGAAGCCATAAAACTTCATACATGTAGTCTACACTTGTATCAAGCTTAGATACAGACAGACAGACAGACAGACAGACAGACAGACCTGTACATACATGTATACACTGTATCCTAAAATCTTTTGATTTGTTTTAAATCAACTCTTTACATTAACTCTTAACTAATCATACTTTGTTTCTCATCTCAAGATGCATACATGTACATGTACATGTATGTTATTCCAAGCTGATTTTTATTCTATGTATTGTTAGGGACCACATCTCATTTATAAATGAAATGAAAGTCTTGATCCAAAGTGATGAACTGGCAAAAGATGTTGCAAGTGCAGAAAGTCTTCTGGAGAGACACCAGGAACACAAGGTATAAGTCAATACATGTACTCTCTCGGAATGCAAGGAACTCTTAAGACCAGCAAAATGTAGTCTTTGTTTTGTGTGCCACCAAATGTAACTACAGTATAGGTGATATTTACATGGATGTATTTCTGGCTTTAGGGTTACATTGATGCTTCAGAGGATGGATTCAAGAAGTTTGCTGATGATGGAGAAGAACTTGTCAATTCTAATCATTATGCCAGTGATGAGATCAAAGAAAAGGTAAATATCAGACTCAATGTCTGAATCATACTTGAAAGAGAAAATGTCATGCTAAGTTGTGTGTTTATTTCAAGTATTTTGACTTGTTTTCTGTTGCTTTTAGCTCACAAGCCTGGAAACAGAGAAGATGGAACTGCTAGAGCTGTGGGAGAAGAGACGTGTCCAGTTTGAGCAGTGCATGGAACTGCAGCTTTTTAATCGAGATTGTGAACACGCTGATGCTACCATGACTAAACAAGAGGTATGAACATGTCTTATTACGGCATTACCTGTCAAATGCTTACAGACACTCCACCATGCTCTAACATCTTCAATGGGTAAAATGCTCTTGTCCCTTTTGTTGCCCTTGTTTTTGGAAACCTGTTTGCTTTTCAGTGTTGAGTTATCTGGATGTCCTTCTCTTCAATTACAATCATGTCACAGTCAGAGCTAGTAATGACTGCAAATAAGTATATTCACATATTACTCTTACCCCACAGATATCTAATTGAGGACCTGCACTCCTGCAGCATGCAGTATTTTATACTACCCCACGTCATGCTCATTTTCAAATTAATTAGTCTTTTGGACCTCAACTTCAAATGTATCTTATGAAAATATTTACTGTTACTTCAAAGGCATTTCTTGCTGATGATAACCTGGGGGATTCCCTTGATGGAGTGGAGGCATTGATCAGAAAACATGAAGATTTTGACAAGTCTTTTGCTGCCCAAGCAGAGAAGATCAACGTAAGTGAAGTTGTCATTCCACAATGTACCTGAATTTTATAATCCAGTTTGATTCATATTTTCCTAATAAGTTATTCGTAATAAGTTAATGATATGTTTATGTTTTTTAACACATAAATAAAAGGCAAACTGGTTTTAAAAAAAATGAACAGAGTTAAGTTTAAACCACCAAAGCTTTTGCAATTACATGTATGGCTTGCATTGTGACGTAGTTATATAGTTCTGCTGTGGAGAAGTCTCCTGGCAGAGAATTGCTTAGCTTGTATGTTGAGCTGGCTTCCAGAGGATGGCCATTCGTTCTGCATGGTCTAGGGTTGAGGGCTTCCTCTTTAGGATTTGAGAATCGCCATGCCATTTGCTGCCACAGAAGTAAAAGTTTTGACCACTATTACTGGTACCTTATTTTCCTTGACCAAAAAGTTTGGATAAATTAGTATGGTCATGCTTTCTTTTTGTTGGTTTTGTGGTGAATATGTTTTTTTCTTACAACAGTAGTGTACATCTATTGTCTGAATCCAAGATCAAAACTGTGGAACTCTTTCTCCATTCCACATGTGAGAAAAGAGAATGAGAGACCTGGTACCCAGTCATTTGCATCACCCTGTGTGCCAGGCTACTAAGTTCCTTATGGGAAGCATGGATGGAACAGTAGTGAGAGAGCTAGCCTCTTACCAGTGTTGCCTGTGTTCAAATCCTGGGCTCGGCATCATTAATGGGTTGAGTTTGTTGGTTGGTTCTTGCTTTGGTGTCCATCAACAAAAACCAACACTTCTTAATTCCAAATCAATCTGGAAACAGTGGACAACGAGCCTCTCTGTGGGATGTGCCAGTGAAAATTTCTATTTAATATTTAATTATGTAGTTATTTATTTGTTGTCTTATAGATCATGTGATTTTTTTTTCTTTCAGAGTATTGATGAGTATGCAAACCGCCTCATTGACAGTAATCATTATGCCACTGATGAGGTTCGTGAGAGGAGAGATGGAATAGTGGAAAGGCGGCAGAACATTGAGGAGCTGTCCAAGGCCCGCAGGTCACAGCTTGAGGAATCTCGTAAGCTGCAGCAGTTTGAGAGAGATGCTGATGAAGTCAAAAGCTGGATCACTGAAAAGCTGAAAATTGCTTGCGATGAATCTTACAAGGTGAGAATCAATGTTACTGCGACACACTGAAATGTAAAGATGGCTATCTTGACCATCTGTGAGAAAGTTGGTGGGTAAATTCCATTTTTGCCTAGACTCAATTTAAATGTTAGTAGTCAACACAGAATCAATGTCCTTCAGAGTTGTGGGTAACACATTTAATATGTACGGAAAGTCTTGGCCTAACACCATATTCTCCCAAGGAGAGGAATGCAAAATGTGGAGAACTGGAGAATTAGGAGGATTGTGATGCTAAAACTGGTCCAAAAGGTTTGGGAAGTAAAGTCAAACATTGTCTTATGTTTTTAGGATCCAACCAACCTGCAAGGAAAAATCCAGAAACACCAAGCCTTTGAGGCTGAGCTGAATGCCAATCAAAGTCGACTTGATGCAGTAGATAACACTGGAGAACAGCTGATTGGAGATGAACACTATGCTTCAGAACAGATCAGAGAAAGGCTTGATGAGCTGCATAAGCTGTGGGCCTATCTGTTTGAGAGATCAAACGATAAAGGTAAGATGATTACATTTAAGATATATTCTGTTTACTCCAAGCAAAGAAAGTTAGGATGAGGCAAAAAAGTGGACAAAAAATAAGGAAAAATTACAGTTGCACTCTAAGTATGCAATAATAAACTCTTTTTGGTAATTGCATGCACTGAGATTATTGATGGGAAACATTTTGAGTCACTTCTAATAGCTTAAACTGTCAACAAGTTGTGAAAAGATGCCAGCTGCCAACCTAATTCTGATTAACTAATAGACTGTTGTATTTTTCAGGGAAGAAATTAAAGGATGCAGCTCAACAACAGCAGTTCAACCGGTCAGTACAGTACTACACCAAGATGACTCTGTCACTGCATGTGTTTGTCTGCACATCAACATTTACCCTTTTTTGAAGTTATAAACATAACAAAATTACTAAGAGCTTTTTGAATTGTTTTATTTGCAGAGGTGCTGAGGATGTGGAGTTATGGTTCACTGAAGTTGAAAACCTTCTCGCTCTTGAGGATGTTGGAAAGGTAAGCTATTGGTAGTAGAGAAAAAGTGTATGCTCTATAAGAAGAAACTAGTTCCTATCCCATCTGTTAGATATGGCATCTTATCAGCTGCTAGCATAGACTGGATGTAAAGGAGACTACATAGAAATATAAAGGGTTTTGGAAGATCCTTGTCCCCTGAGTGTAAGGTTTATAAGTTTTAGGTGTACAATATTTTGTTCCTGTCTTAATTGTAAAATTTTAATTTCTACTGCTCAATTATTACAGGATCTGACAAGTGTGCAGAACCTCCAGAAGAAGCATGCTATGATTGAGGCTGATGTCATTGCTCGTGCAGTAAGTAGATAAAAGTTAGAATACTATTGTAGTTGGCTTAACTGATTGGCACAGGCTGTTAGCTCAACCCCTTCCCTTCCTATTTTGGTGGAAAGTTACATATCAGCAGAAGAGATGATGCCCCTTTTCCATCATGTCACCCCTAGCCTGTGCACTGGGCTGGATGAAAATTCTTCCAACCAATTATAACATCAATATTCTTATTGTTAATATAAAACTGAGTCATAATTACATGTATTTATCATTGTGTACTCACAAAACAATTTTTTTTTTTACCATGATAGGATAAAATTGAAGTTGTCAATACACAAGCAGAGACGTTTGCAGAGCTTGACCACTTTGATGCTCCAGCTATCAAGGCAAAGAAAGAGACCCTTAATGCCAGATACCAACAGATACAGGTAATGGTGATCTTACATGAATCGCTTATTGTCACCCCGTATTTTATTACCCACTTCTGAATTTTCTTGCTATGAAGACAGTGGACCTTGGTAACCTTTTGAGGGTTTGTCTTTACCACTTTGCAGTATTTTTTTGTGTAAGCTAAATTTCAACTTTAAATTTCAGGCTCCTCTTCTTGCACGGAAAGCTAAGCTTCAGGATGCAGAGAGACTTAAGAGATTCCTCCATGATGTCGAAGATGAAGAGGCATGGATCAGAGAGAAGGAGCCTATTGCTTCATCTACCAACACTGGACGAGATTTGACTGGAGCCCAAAATTTGTCAAAGAAACACCAGGCATTGATGGTAAGTACTGGGAAAAAAAAAAATTACAGTGAATTTCAACTGTTTGTGTGAATAGCTTTGTTTGGATTTTATTAACCCATTCTGGTATTTTACAAGTATATTTTTGTGGCTTTGTCTGCAAGCTACATTCATTTGTATCAGCTCAATCATTCTGTTTGTTTTCATTTTGCAGACTGAAATTGCTAGCCATGAGCCTAGGATCAGAGCGGTGTGTGACAATGGCGTGCAAATGATCGATAACGGTGAGTTGGCCAAAACATGTAGGGCTGTAGCAATCAACTGTCTCTTTTTTGCATGTAAAATCATTGCCATGTATTTGACGCTCTGCACCATACATTTACAAGTGAAAGGCATTCTTCAGCTGAATGTCTTTTCTGTGTTTTGTTTAGGGCATTATGCTGCCGATGAAATCAAAGAGAACATTGACGATCTTGACCAGAAGTGGCTTGAATTCAAGGTGAGAGGAGACTACCCTCAGAAAGTTGACCAATGTTAGTAATAAAACAGATCTTGTAAAGACTCTTTTAAGCAAGTCCAGTATTGGTGGCCATGCTGTAAAACTGAAAGAGAGTAATTTGGGGACTTGAATGGTTATTCCATTAAAATGCAACTTTAAATTACCACATTCTTGATTAAACTTTTAGGACAAGGCAGCAGTACGTAAAGGTCATCTGGATGACTCTCTTCAAGCCCATCAATATCTCGCTGATGTTGCTGAAGCAGAGTCCTGGTTGAAGGAGAAAGAACCCTTTGTCACCAGCGATGACTATGGCAAAGATGAGGATAGTGCCCAGGTTAACAGTCTAGCATTTCTTACGTGTTTGTAACCCTTGTATTTATTTTTGTGCACCTGAACACAAGTATTGTGTGCACTTGTGAGCATAACTGATTGCACATTGCATACTTGCAGGCACTGTTGACCAAGCATGATGCCATCATGTCAGACTTGAGAGCTTATGGAACTGTTATCGATGGCTTGAGAGAGCAGAGTCAACACTGTAAGGTAAGGAAAACAGTAAGGGCACCTCTTTTTCTTCCAGTATTTACTATACCTCAAAGATCTGTCTTGTGTGCAGTGCATCTCTTAATGCATGAAGTGTTTATTCTGTTACAGCCTTCAGCTCATGTCACTGACATCTCAGATAAGGAATGTGTGGTTGCGCTGTATGACTACCAAGAAAAGACAGCCAGGGAGGTCTCCATGCAGAAGGGGGATATTTTGACCCTCCTGAATTCTAGCAACAAGGTGAACTCTTTGTCTAGAATGATCTCTTTGATCATATATCCACCTTTAAAATATTCTGAGTATATTCTGAGTCTGAGTATTCAATCAAACACAGCATTTCAGTCAAACTTCTCATAAGCAAGCCCCCTCAGATCCAGAAAGTTTCCACTCAAGGAGGTTGTCAGCTTTTGGGAGGCTGACAGTGACTGTATGCAGTTGGTTATACCCGCTATCAGTGTTGCGTGCATAGGTGACATCTTTTGACATGCCATCTCCCGACATGCTTTGTAACCTGGCCCAGCTAAAAAATGTAAGCACAATGGACTTCTTTGTGGTCGAACTCAACTTTCAGTCATGAAAGATGGATTTATTTGACATCAGGACAAGGCTAGGAGTATCCAGAAGTCATTCTCTGAGAGATAAATTGACTCCCTTGAATGTTTACATCTTTCACATATTTGAAGCGGTAGCAGCCCAGTTCTAGCAGAAGTCATTATTGAGAGCCGATCAACTACACTCAAATTGTTTGATTTATCCCGTAATTCAGGAAACATGCAAAGTTCACAATCTTCTTCGGTCTTTCAGCCGTTTGCATGGCATGTCAAGAGATCCCACGTCAAAAGATGGTGGAAACACATCACCTATGCACATAACACTTAAAGTGGGTGTAAATTGACTAAATATCCACTAAGGGGAGAAAGAAAAAAGGAAAAAGTGTGGACTATCAAATCAAGGCACAGATAATCAATTCAGAGGTGGTTTCCCCGGAACTCTGCCAGCATTAAAGTGTTTTAGATACAAACAGCTTGAATTGCAACTTGGTCTTGAGTTTTTGTCACACTACCTCAAACATTTGCTCTGATGGTATTTGATGACAACTTCCTTAAAAAAACAAAAATTATATTAAAGACCTCATATGACTGTCGGGCAAGTTTAATGAATTTCAATTTGTCATTTTCAGGACTGGTGGAAAGTGGAAACAAATGACAGGCAAGGTTTTGTTCCAGCAGCATATGTCAAGAGGATTGACTCCCACAAAGCCTCCCAGGAACTTCTCTCACAGGCTCCTGAAGTGGACTCCGTTGCGCAAAGGCAACAGGCTCTGGATGACAAGTGAGTTTGTCTTTTGTATAAGGCTTAGTTTTATGATCTTGCTGCATTATCATAATCAGAGCAACCAGCCACCCTGCCCCTAGATAGTGATTAGTACGTTCTGGCCGTGGTTACTTTCAGATTTAAAAGCATTCTCTGCAGATTTCTCCTTTAAATAATTGTAGTAAACTACATTTCTTTTTCCCTAATAGATATCAAGATCTGATGGACAAAGGGGAAGAACGCAAGAGGAAGCTGGAAGACTCCATTCAACGATACAGTCTGTTGCGAGATGCTCATGAATTGGAGTCGTGGATCAATGACAAGGTTAGTGTCCGTATCAACAAAATTGTGAGCTAGTGAAGGTGTGGACCAAGAACTAATAATTCTCCATGAAAAAAAACTATTAATTACGAGTATGTGACCTTTTATTGGGCTTAATTTGATTGGAAACTGAAGAGTCAGTACTCATTTTACGACTTGATTCCTCTTAAATGACAGAATTTGAGCAGTCTAAAAAGAGACTTTTAATGTGACTTTTAGTATCTCCTTGTGGTTATAACTATGACACATCGCATTGTTGATGTTTAAGAGTGTTTTCTCATTTTCAGGAAGCCATTGTCACCTCTGAGGAGATTGGAAAGGATTACGAGCATGTGGAAGCGCAACAAAAGAAGTTTGATGACTTTGAGAAGGTAAGACTTGTTCATGGCACTTGAATGTTCTCCTTGTTATTTTACATCAAAACAACGAACTTAAGTTAACATACTGCTTATTACTCAGGATATGATGGCTAAAGAGGTTCGCATCAGGGAGCTTACTTTACTGGCAGAGAAACTCAAAGTTGAGCACTATGCAGAATATGAGATGATCCGAGAGATGATTGAGGTGAGGATAAATGTTTTGAACTACCAAGTTATGGGTGCTAAAGGATGACAATTTACTAAATGTTTTTCTAAATGCAAAAATTACATACTTCAAATCAATGTATAAATATGTCTGAAACTCTCACTGCTTTTTTTTTTGTTAAAAAAAATCAGTGCAACAAACATCTTTTGAAGAACATGCATTGTTGGTTTTTGAAGCACAATGAAACAATTTCTATTTGTACTGAGTGTTTTTTCTCTTTGTGGAATGGCTCTGATAATCACATTGAGATGTTCAAACTTTCGTAACAATATGTATCATTTTAACTACAGGTAGAAAAAATACGTACATTCACTCAGACAACTACAACAATCACTGTAAGTGATCTATCAGAGTTAAAACTTGTGAATGGTTTGTTCCTACCATGCAACATCATTCAGGGATGTACAGGTTGTTAGCGGTGTCTGCAGGATATGTTTTTGGATTGTATTTGCTACCATTTCCATTTCTTCAACAGAGGCTAAAGCAAAAATGGACCAATCTTGTAACGATGTCCGAACAGAGGAAAGAAAATCTTGACAATGCTCAAGAAATTCATAAATTCCACAGGTAATGTCTAGATGTTTTGATTTTCTGTGTTTTTGATCCAGTTCCTATGTAGATGTTGATCTTGTTAGGCTGAAAAGCAAGAGAAATGCCTGTATTACAACTCCCTTACTATTTATTCATTTTATATTTATATATTTTTTTGCATATTATAGGGATGCTGATGATACCAAGGCATGGATCTCAGAGAAGGACACAGCTCTTTCCACTTCAGATTATGGCCGAGATTTGGCTAGTGTCCAGGCTTTGCAGAGGAAGCATGAAGTGTTGGAGAGGGACTTGGCTGCATTGGAAGAGAAGGTATGATAATCAAGACTCTTTCTACTTGAATGTTGGGTTGCTTTAACTTTATTGTCAGGTGGGCGAGGCAACTGGTAGACTGGCCCACCTAGACTGGCACTAGCTATCTGCAGGCCAGTCCAACTGTAAAATGTAACTGATAAAGTGATTGATTGATTGATTGATTGATTGATTGATTGATTTGATTGATTGATTGATTGATTGATTGATTGATTGATTGATTGATTGATTGGCCCTTGGAGAAGAAAGGGAAAGTGTAGGTTTTCTGGGTTAGTAGAGAGGAAGCCTCTGTTTGCACGTGCATATTTAATTAATTAAGTTTGTTAGCATTGACAGGGCTGAAAATTGTTTTTCATAAATAATCAGAACATAAGACCTTTGTCTGGACATTGCAGTATCAGTCAGTTGTGTCAGGACAGTTCATTGGATGAATGTTAGCAGTGGTTTGGCGAAGGGTCCCCAGGGGTATCTACGTAAACGTCAGTGTCAGTCTGATGGCTTCAGAACTTGATCAGTGTGCCTGAATGCTATCTCCAACAATTAGAAAATGCCGGATAGTAAAAGTAACTTTTTTTCTCTTCAGGTCCGTGAACTGAATGTTGAAGCTGCCAAGTTGACCTCGAGTCATCCAAATGCAGCACAAGATATTGAATGGAAGCGACATGAATTGGAGGAGGCTTGGGCAAACCTCCGAGAACAGGTAGTTAATGTTATAAAATAATTTGTTGCTTTTGTATTCACGAATTAAGATAAATACACAAGTTTTTGGTGTTCAGTTGTTTAAGTTGCATTATTTCTCTTATAGGCTGCTGCAAGAAAAGGCAAACTGAGAGACTCGTATGACTACTTCCACTTCCTAAATGAATTCAGGTAAGAGTTCTTGCACTCTTGGCGACTGAAAGTCGCTGGAAATTAATCAAACCAAGTTGTAACTTGTTCAGTTAACACACTCCTGTTATAAAGTGGGCACCCTGGGGTTGCCTGTTTTACAATAGGCTCTGATCATCTGACTAAAAGAAGTGTTTGAAACTAAGAGCCATCTGTCTGACAAAATTTCCAGTGTAGATTACTGTCTGCTTTGTCAGAGAGAACAGAGAGAAATGTCCATTCATAGTGACGTTTCTTTACCATTACTTAAGTAATTTTTACATGGTCTGTATAATGTAAGCAGTCATAAAGTTCGATTCATAAATAATCTCCTAACTTTGGAGTTGCTTTGAATCATTTCAGAGATCTTACTTCCTGGATCAATGGTATCATGGCACTTGTAACTTCAGATGAGCTTGCTAAGGATGTGGCTAGTGCTGAGGCACTCTTGGACAGGCATCAAGTATGACACACACACACACACATCAAACAATGTATAAATTAATTGTTACTCTCATGCAACTGATACTAGTCATATTTGAAGATAAGACATACAGCAGAATTTTTGATATAGAATATCACAATACTTTTACTGTAATTGAATATCTGTCATTATGATGTGTTGAAAATTTGTATTTGACAGGAACACCGTGCAGAAATCGATGCCAGGGACAGCACATTCCAGGCTTTTGAAGATTTTGGCAAGGACTTGTTGGACAAAGAACACTATGCCAGTCCTGACATCCGTGAGAAGTTGGATACCATGGCTACAGAGAGAGAAGAACTGGAAAAGTAAGATGACGTAACTGCTGTTGGTCATTGTGGCTGGAATAAATATGTATGAAGTCAAATGTAATTATGATATGCTGCTTGCTCTATGGAAGTAACATTCGCCTGTCTTGTAACCCTGAACTAGTATTCCATTATTTTAGGGCTGTTTGTTTTGTCTTGAAAACTTTGTTTTCATTTGTAGTTTGATATCTGAACTAATTAATTAACTTTATCTTTTAGGGCATGGGCTGCTCGCAAACAGAGGCTGGACGAATGTCTGGAGTTACAGGTTTATTTAATATCAATCTGTTTGTGTATACCGTATACTTGATTGCTTTTGACGTGATGATTGTTTAGATAATTGCTATGATTGTAAAACAGCAACAAGGATATATAATACTTTCTACTCAATACTCACATTTTTGTTATCCGGTTGTCCTGTTGGTGTGTTTCAGCTTTGATAAGAAGAAGAGTTGTCTAAGTAGTGTGTAACTTAAGAGCGTTAGATGACGTCTTCTCAATCCTTTTTCAGTTGTTTAACCGAGATGCTGAACAGCTGGAGCAGTGGATGGCAACCCGTGAGGCCATCATTCAGAGCGAGGATGTAGGAGAGGCTGCCGAGGGTGCAGAGGCCCTGATCAAGAAACACGAAGACTTCACTAAGACGCTGGCTGTGCAAGACGTCAAGATCAATGCACTGAAGGACAATGCCGACAGGCTGATTGACAACAATCACTATGATTCCCCTGCTATTGCTGAGAGGATCCATGCAGTGTTGGCCAGGTAAAGCAAAGATTACTGTACGTGAGGTTCTGGAAGTATACCTCAGAGAATGTCTAAGACCATGCGTTGTACACTCTCAAAGACAGGCAGCTTTGAGAGCTTTCCTTTAATCTAAATGCATGACAATCGTTTGCGGTGCACCAGTCAATGTACATTTGTGTGTTATCACTTTGGTCCCAGTCATTTAAAAGTTGGATATAATGCCGTCCACAAAATATATATCGCTATCCACGGGATGCATGTTAACAAAACGAACTACTCTATCTGCTCAATAATGATTTATCCATTGGCAAACATCATGTATCCATTAAATAACCAAGCCTTACTCTTTTATGTATCTGTTTCTGTCTTGTAGGTGGGCTACCCTGAAGGCAGCCCTTGTTGAGCGTCGGTCTAAGCTGGGTGAATCAAAAACCATTCAACAGTTCAGTCGTGATGCTGAAGACATTGAGGCATGGGTCAGTGAAAAACTCCAGACTGTTCTGGATGAATCTTACAAGGATCCGACCAACCTGCAGGTAACGAGATATATTTTCTGATAATTTATGTGTCATTTTCATTTGTCACGCTAAAGAGTTGATCATAGTGCCATTTGAGTATATATGGCTACAGCTTGAAGCTTATTCCAGTTGCCCCACCCTATGGTCTGTATTATCTAGGTAAGAGGTACAGTATTACTATCAGAAGGCTTTTTTGGGGGGAAGATGAAGATAATGATTACTTTTGATTATGTAAACGCAATTAAATGCCAGGTGAGCTTTTACGCAAAAACGTGATATCTTCACATTCACATGTGAAAAGGTCACTGTTGCCATGGTTACATAGTCACGCCTTTCACAGCTGAAGTGAAACGGTTTGGTGTGCTTCGTGTTTGCTGTGCTCACTCGTAAAATATTTTTCAATAATTAAAAGAAATTTTGCAATATCCTCTATATATCTAGCTCTTGGCATGGAGTTGTGGAGATTTTTCCACACAAGCAATCGTCTAACTTACTGGTTATGTTTTATTAGTCCAAGTTCCAGAAGCATCAAGCATTTGAAGCAGAAGTTTCAGCCAATCAGGAAAGAGTTCTGGAGACAATTAACTTAGCAGAAGGTGAGTGACAAGCTAACAGTGATCCACATTGCGTTTCTCCTTACAATTTCGATACATTGTTAAACAGGTAGATAATGAGATTAGAGGATGTCGTCAACTTGCAATGTTATGTTGGTTCACTTCGACTGAAAAGATTAAAAAAATTATTGTGATCTTGAAGAGGATTAGGATTGAACGTGTAAAATCGTGTAGACTGTGTTGTATTTGAGAAGACACTGTGCTGATTCAGTAATGTTATAAAAGGACTGAGGAAAGATTTACCTGAATATTATGACTATTTGAAACCAAGAAAATGCGTATAGCACTGTTATGTATATTACAAAGAGGAGACCTTTAGTCGTAAAGAAATAACGAAAAATTGAAATATACGAAGTGTAACATCCTGTGGACAAACTTGAAAAAAGTGTTTGGCAAGTTGCGCTCTGTGGCTTGGTTCCTCATGCATGGTTGTTATAATGCCAGGTAAGTCAATCTAATTGTTTAAGACTACATGTCAAAATAAAGTGATATTTCTTACGTTGTACTCTGTCTTTAACAGGCCTGATTGAACAGCGCAAGTGTGCAGGAAGCGAGGAGATCGTGAAGGAAAGGATCACCAAACTTCAGCAGCAATGGGAGTATTTGGTACAGAAGTCAAGTGAGAAGAGCCAACATCTAAAGGAATCTAATCAACAGCAACAGTTCAACACTAACGTCAAGGAATTAGACTTCTGGCTTGGAGAGGTGAGGGGTGAAAATGCTTCTCACTTAGAATGGCTGGAACACGTTTTCTCTAAAGTGATTGTCTCTGTTGCTGCTTTGTTTTTCTCGATGAGGAAGATTTGGGTATTCACAGTGGAAGATGGGCCCTATTAACAGTGTGGGTTAGGAGGGGAGCTTTCACTTTTGTTTTAAACCTAGAAAGGATGACACAATATGATGTGCTTCGTCCATCGAGGCACGTGTAACAGGGAAGTTACATTTTCCGAAGAGTGGCAACAAAGAAGTTACTTCACGTTTATTTTGACTGATTATACACCCGTAAGTCAATCGATGTTGAATATGACTGCTTTTAGAATGAACACTGACCCGGTGTCTTACCTGGGTTGAGTTTGTTGGTGGTTCTCGCCTTGCTCCGAAGATTTTTCTCCAGGTACAACGGTTTTCCTTCCTCCACAAAAACCAACATCTCCAAATTCCAATTCGACCAGTGTAGGGGACCCGCATAAAAACCAGACTGATGTGGCTTCCTATCTAAATATTATAATTTAATACTCCTTAGAAAAGTTGTGGAAAGAGAGAGTTTCCTTGTTTACGCCTGTGAGTTGGAGCTTAATTTATGTTCACCGGCTCTGTTGCACGATCTTTTTTTAGGTTGAAGCTTCCCTGTCCCATGATGATTATGGTCGCGACCTGGCCAGTGTGCAGAATCTCATCAAGAAGCACCAGCTTGTGGAAGCTGACATTGCCGCTCATGAGGTGTGTTTTGTTGTCAGGAATTCATGGTTGCATCACTCCGCTCTCTGGGCTAGAGCCATGAATGTGTAATGTTACTTACATTTTATGGTTCTTTCTTTTAGGATCGCATTACAGATCTCCAAGCTCAAACCCAGCACTTTGCCGAGGTTGGCCATTTTGATGCCGACTCTTTGCAGGATAAATCCCGTCAAATTGCTGATCGTTATGACAAGTGAGTTAGGCCGCCCCTGCTAATTAGTTTACCTTTATCCTCAGATTCTACTGTGCAGCATTTTGTGTTGGCAAGATCTTACAGTACTGTGATCAGTTTGCTAAAATTCACAGGGAAAGGGGTTTCTTTGATTCATTACCGGTATATAGGGATTTCACTGAGGTCCGGGCGCTCGGCAAATTGACCGGCTGTGAACAGAACTTTGTCCGGCTGCTTCATCGATATTTTATATAGTACTGTTGCTGTCTCGTAGTATTTTAATGTGTTTAACAGTCTTCTAAAAAGTTGAGCTTATTTCAAGTCAAAGAAACCACGATTGTTCTGTGGTTTTAGTAGTGTCATTTCCCTTGCATCTTCAAACTGCAAAGCAAATTCGACCAATCGATTACAAAAACAAATATTCTCCATGTAAGCCCACTTGGAATGTGTCAAAGTTACGAACAAAATTACGAGCTTGGCGGATTTTCTGCTCGGATGTCATATCCTGATGCCCTCCTGTTAAAAACCTTAATGAAGCCCCTGCAATTTATTTATATCAGTATGTTGACCGCACAATAAACATTATTGGAAGTTTTAGCAGCAAACAATTAAGGTCAAGCACCATTTATTAACCATGGGTATTTTTTCAAAATTCAGGGTGAAGGACATGGCTTCCGATCGCCATAAGAAGTTAGATGAGTCCAATGCTCTGCACCAGTTCTACCGGGATGTGGATGACGAGGAGTCCTGGATCAAGTGAGTAGCGTATTAGGTTTTAAGAATGCAAGAAGTTCAATTGACATAAGCTAAATTTGGTCTTTTTATTTGATCAGAGAGAAAAAACTGTTGACAAGCTCTGAAGACTACGGCAAGGATTTGACTGGAGTACAGAACTTGCGCAAGAAACATCAGCGCTTGGAAGCTGAACTAAACACACATGAGGCGAGAATCCAGGTAGGAAACTAAACATATAACTTCTCACTACCTCATGGCTACAGAGATTTCATTCAATGTTCGGAGAATTTGGATCTGAATCACATCTTTTCTTTCAGGCTGTGCTGTTGTGTGGCCGTAAATTTATCGACGAGGGACATAGCAGCTCGGATGAAATCAAGGCTCGCTGTGACCAACTGCAGGAAAACTGGGATGAACTCAAGAATCTTGCAGAACAGAGGTGTGTATGAGTGATGGTGTCTGCGTAGTTCTGGACAATTAACAAAATTACTGTTTGTAAGGGCCCCTAGTTGCCTGTCATACCCGTTTTACTGTTGCTGTAGTGAATTTGTCCTGTTCTAACTGTTAATTGCTTTTTATTTTACAGGCAGCACAAACTGGACGAGTCTCTTGCCTACCAGCAGTTCAGTGCTAATGTTGGTGAAGAGGAATCGTGGATCAATGAGAAGAATACACTTGTTGGAAGCGATGACTATGGTGATACGCTAGCCGCAGTTCAGGTGAGGCGGTTGTGGCTTGCCTTAGATCTTCCAGATGATTAATGTTTTGTCCCACAGTCAGAGAGTTCTAAATGTGTCAGCATTTAATCAGTGGTGCGCTAGATCGCCAGCCATGCCTAGGGAAAACAGAACCATTGGTCTTTCGAAAACAAAAGAGGCCTGCTCATTAAGTCAAAGTTTTTATTTTATTAGGGTCTGTTGAAGAAGCATGAAGCGTTTGAAACAGATCTGGAAGTTCACAGGGAGAGAGTACAGGACATTGAAGATGCTGGAAACAAGCTCATTGAAAAGGTGAATTCCTATGCACTGTATAAACAAGACTGTAGAGGAACTATTGCTTTCAATTGCCTTCCCACTCCCACTATTTCTGTCCCCATTTTAAGACCAGAATGTTAATCAAAGCGCATTTTTTCCTGCAGGGAAATCACCAATCTGAACTGATTGAACACAGGATTTCGTCCATTAAGGTAACAGCTCTATCAAAGAACTACTACAGTTACAATAGTCTTCTTTGGGGTCTTAATTTGGGACGTCCCGCAAAACCACTCTGTGCGTGATGACCTAACCCTTTCAGCTTTTAACCATGAATGAGTGGCTCACTTATGGGTATTTTTTTTTCTTGTGTAGAGCAAACTGCAGGAGCTGGAGAGAATGGCATCCTATCGAAAGTCCAAGCTGAATGACAACTCAGCGTTCTTGCAGTTTAACTGGAAGGCTGATGTGGTGGAATCTTGGATTGGTAAGTACAAGCCTGTTAGAGCGGTTTCCAATCGAGTGTCGTAAAACTAAAAACCAAAGTAATCACTCTGTCCTGGCCAATTACAAAGGACAGACAATCCAACGACCTTATTAAAACTCGTAGTGAACACATACAGCTGACGCGAAGCACGGGAAAACGTGTGCGAACGAGTCAGAATTTGTTTGGGTTTTACCTCTGGTTGGATGAAAAATTGGCGCATGTTTTCTAAGCCCATCGTGTGTAGCGTCGTAGTGCAGAACCAGTTACTTTTCGACTCTCGATTGAACACCACTCTATTTCTAAGCGTTTTTGTTCCATTTCGTCGAAAACGAAAGATTAATTTTAAGTTATGCACCAGCAGCTTGTCCCTTAATTCAAACAAAGTTCAGCAGTGTTCCTAGGACGTTTTTTTCTTCAACCTTTTATCTTTGTTTTAAAAGACCCGAGGCTCAAGCGTTTGTTATACATTGATCTTTTTAGGTGACAAAGAAGGAATCGCTCGATCTGATGATCTCGGACGTGATTTGTCTTCAGTGCAGACACTTTTCACCAAGCAGGTAAACTTAAAGAGTTTGAAGAATATGATATTGTGAGCTTGCTCTATAGGGCAGATGATGATTCTATTCAGTTGGAAATGTCCTGCGAAGGAACGTTAAGACATTAACCGAAACACTATTTTTCAGAAAGGGTTAGGAGACTTGGCATTGCCGGGGGAAGTGATCTTGTCTTTCTTGGGGTGGGTGAGAGAGTGAACAAACTCACGCACTGATCACACACAACATCTCCTTTGTACTTTTTTTGTGTCTGTTAGGAAACCTTCGACTCAGGTCTGCAGGCTTTTGAAAATGAAGGAATTGCGCGTGTGACCGTGCTGAAGGATGAACTAGTCCAGTCTCAACACGAGCAGTCACCTGCCATCATTAAACGTCATGATGACCTTATTAGGAGGTGAGCAACACCTCTAACCAATCATTTACGAGGTTGATGTGGTGTGATGTCCGTATTAGGAAGTCAGTAAACCCTCTGATCAACCCTGATTTTCAAGTTCAAAGCGTATCACGGTTTAACAGATGGTATTCCTTGTCTCGTTACTGTCTCTAGGTGGGAGCAACTGTTGGAAGACTCCAGGACTCGTAAAGAACGACTCCAACATGCACAGGATCAGTACAAGAAGGTGATTGTTTCCTTGCTTGACTGCTGTCTTGTTATTTCAGTCAAAAACAGAGATCAAATGCTAGTGTTTTGAAATTGTTGCGTTGTCGTCTTTTTTGTTATTTGTAAAGAAGCATCACTTATAGTCTTCGTCATCTGGTTTGTTCAAGGTGGAGGACTTGTTCCTGTTGTTTGCCAAGAAGGCTTCAGCTTTCAACAGCTGGTTCGAGAATGCAGAGGAAGACCTCACTGATCCAGTGCGCTGCAACTCTGTTGAGGAAATACGTGTAAGTTTTACAGCCCATGTAAACAGACCTTTCTTCACGAGATCATTCTCCCCTTGTTTTAGAGGTGTCTTAAGTCGACGTGGTCAGTAGCACAGTCATATCACTTTGCATATCGCAGCTTAATTGCCGAACCAATCACAAAATTTCACTTGCATGTGCTAGTAGGCCAAATGTTTTGACGTCAGGTTGTCGTAGTGAGAGACGTCTCGTTACTAAGCGACCCGTCACAAAGACTGCGGGCTCAAGTCAACTCCAATGAGGTTAAAATTACAGATCATACTCGCCCCCTCTCTCAAATAAGTTAAGCCCGTAATATTTTAAGGGTGGAGGGATAATTCTTCTGCGTTGTTACGTTATCACCTCAGGCCTTGCAAGATGGACACACACAGTTCCGCGCTTCTCTGGACCAGGCTGAAGATGATATCATGCTGCTCAGGAAGCTTGATCGCCAAATCAAAAGCTACAATGTCTCTATAAACCCGTAAGTACACCAAAAGGCGAACTTTGAAGGGTCAAGGAAGTCTTCGTCAGTTTCACCTTCAAGTTGCAAGTAACAAACCGTATTCTCACATCCGTCCAGTTCGGAACTATCACAATCAGAGCGGTTTTCGCTAGACTGTTCACGGTCCCCTATTTTTTCCGTGAGATCGTAGATGTCGATCGTTGAGTTCGACGGGCCGCCATCTTGGTCTCTTGATGCGAGCGAAACTGGGGAGAGTACAAAATGCCCATATTAACCCCACCGCCACTTCCCACGGGCATTTTGTACTCTCCCCAGTTTCGCTCGCATCGGGAGACCAAGATGGCGACCCGTCGAACTCAACGATCGACATCTACGATCTCACGGGAAAATAGGGGACTGTGAACAGTCTAGGTTTTCGCTAACTGAATAGTGCATCAGTAGGAGATTAAGACACTTAAAAAAAATAAGAACAGTTAAAGACGTAAATAGCCCTCTCTGTTTTATGTCGATGTCTAAAAGTCTTGTTGTCCGGTGGGAGCTAGGAGGATGACACACACAATGCTATGAACGCCAGCAAAGTGTAGAAAACTGCACAACTTTCTGTTAGGCATACACAAATCTGAAAATTGTTATCTCTGTTGAACTAATAAGGCGCTTTTCATTCATGTTAGGTACACGTGGTTCACAATGGAGGCATTGGAGGATACCTGGGAGAATCTGCAGAAGATTATCGAGGTTTGTAAATTGACTTCGTCTCATCTATTCATATCGAGCAACAATTCCTATTCTTACTCGTTCCTTATTCTTACAAATGAAGGTAAATCGACTGGCTTTTCTCTTTAGTGGCCAAAATGCCTTTTTGTCGTCTTGGAAGTGTAGGTATTTGAGTGAGAAGCAAACATAGGAGCTAAACTGATAGACATTTACGGAAGTTAACATCTTGAATCGGTTTTCGTGTAATACGTCGTTTGGATCAGCTGCTCCAAATGTCTCATTTCCCTGTCTTACGCAGACGAATACTGAACTTAAGCTTAACTGAAACAATTGTACTTTGTTCTTTTTCAGGAGCGTGAAGATGATCTGCGCAAGGAAGCCCAACGTCAAGAATTCAACGACAACTTGAGGCAAGAGTTTGCACAATCAGCGAACTCCTTCCATGCATGGCTTTCTGACACAAGGTGAGACGGACACAAACTACTTGCTAAAATAAGATCATAACTAAAGATAACTTTCACGTTCGTCAATCCTTGTTGTGTCAAGGTTAATGCCGTCAAAAGGCCTAGATCTTTCCTGTGAGCTGTAGAAACGGATCTGTTAAGATTAAAGTCATGGCTTAGCGCAACTCCTCGCGAAATAGTATTGAGTATTCTACCGAAGACGTCATAGCTTGCAGAACAAAATTTCTCACTCTAGAATTCTTTCTCTCATTTAGGGTGGCAATGGTTGACGGGCAGGGAGACCTTGAAGATCAGTTGGCAGAGGTCAAGAAGAAGAGTGCTGAGATAGCTGACAGAAAAGAGGACCTAAGGATCATTGAAGATCTTGGCGCTCAAATGGAAGAGGCCCTCATCCTGGACAACAAGTGAGTTCTTCATAGGGTGTTCTTTTTAGTTTGCGCTATTTTTTGACATAGTTCTTTATCATCTATTTTCTTACATCATGACACAATCATCAACCTTTGATTTGTTGTTCTAGTACGGTATTTTGAGTTATTTGGGCCGTGTACAATATTGCCTTAAAATTGAAGGGAACCTGAAAATAGTAAACTAAGATAGAAAAATACCAAAAAGACAATAATACACCATAAAGGGACAAGGATGGTGAAGGATGGAGAAGATTAACACGGATTACAAACGACGAACTTGAAAAATTTAGGCTAAACTTTTCAAGGTGCGCAAGCCGTGGCGTGGCTCCTTCAACCCTGCGATGGACTACAGCATCCCATCCAGGGGGGAGTAGAAATACTCCTAGTTGCTTAATGCTACAGAAACCGGGATAAGCTCTGACTGTGTAGGCCACTTGACCCGACGCGGACTATTTGTGCACCTACATTATTAACATGTGATGTGTTGTTGATATAGATACACCGAACACAGCACAGTGGATCTTGCCCAGCAGTGGGACCAGCTGGATCAACTGGCCATGCGCATGAAACACAATCTGGAACAGCAAATCCAGGCCCGCAATACTACCGGCGTTTCCGAAGAGACCCTCAAAGAATTCACCATCATGTTCAAGTAAGTATTTTGTCCCTACTGTGCAAAACACGAACGATGAACTAAAACAGCAATAGTCTGGCTGTGAACACTACACCGAATGTGCTTTTTTTCTCTTTCAATTTCTTGTGGACTGTAATTGCGATCCTCTTCTTTCCATCCCACTCCGTTCTGAACCAGTTACTTTGCTTTCATCCGTGTCATTCCTCATTTGATTTTCTGTAGGTGGGGTTTGAGAATGCGCGTCCGTATTTGCAGGTGACTCCATCTCTTTCTGCCTCTCCCACCACTCTTTTCACAATGATGCCGTCTTGTTTGCGCGTACAGTCAACTTCCGTTATAGCGAACACCCTCGGGACCGCGATTTGGTGTCCGTAATAGCGAGAGTCCGTAATATCGGGGTGCGAGAAAATTTTTATGTTATAATATTTGGACAGACTGGACGAACTTATTCATGGCAGCGAGACTGCAAAGAGGGCCTTAAGAGAAAAAGATGAAGAAGTTTTGATTGATGGACGGAAGAAGCGGAAATCGACCAAAAAAGACAAAGACAATCTCAAAAAGCAGAAAAAATAGACTTGATATGTGTGCAAATATTCCAAGATGCTGCTCGGTGTCCGCTATAACGAGAGAGAAAATAATAAAATTGTGACGTTGGGGCCGAATAAAGTATCCGTAAGTCCGTAATAGCGAGAGTCCTTAATAGCGGGAGTTTGTTTCAGTCAAACGTCTGTAACTTTCGCCGGGGATTTAGCTGCTGTCCGTAATAGCGGGTTGTCCGTAATAGCGAGGTGTCCCCAAGGCGGAAGTTGACTGTAGTTTTCCAATGGTGCGCCTGTTAAATTGACAAAAAAACTTCAATTTGCAATACCTCTATTTTTTCAGGCACTTTGACAAGGACAAGACTGGTTACCTGGATCACCAAGAGTTCAAGTCCTGCCTGCGTTCCCTTGGTTACGATCTGTCCATTGTGGAGGAGGGTGAGGAAGATCCAGAGTTTCAAGCCATCCTCAGGACTGTGGATCCGAATGGGTAGGTTGGATTGACGCCTTGAAGGGGCAGTGTGGACTCTGGTGATAAAGATGTAAAACTGTTTTCAATATTTAGCTCACTGGCGAGCCGCATGCTAATCACAGCATCGCTCTTTGTGCTCGTCACGCGTTTCTTAGGAAAGATTGCGTGACGAGCCTGTAGATCTCTTTTTGTAGGAGGTGAAGACAACAGCCTAACTAATCCTCATTCAGGTCAATAGTTTTCACTGAAAATGTGACAAACCAGGATCAAAAAGTTACATAATTTTTTACAGTATAAATTTACTTAACGTTTCACTCTCCAAATGAAAACGTCCCTTTATTGATCGAACTAAACCAAAGTGAAGGAGCTTTCTTAAAGCCCATCTCGTAACGATAAAGTCGCAGATAACGTTTATTGTACACAATGCTGACAGCAGTTCTTCTTCTGTATCTTCGCAGTGACGGTGTGGTATCTATGGGAGAGTACATGTCCTTCATGATCAGCCGTGAGACGGAAAATGTTGGTTCCAGTCAGGAAGTCATCAATGCCTTCAAGGCGCTCACTGAAGGAGGCAAACGTCCTTATGTTACTGAGGCTGAACTCTACCAGGTAATCATTCAAAAATATGGGGATACCGTATCCTGTATGTCATATTATTTCGTCTTGATGCGTTAATTTTAATTTGTAGTGCTTGTGAAGTTGAGCCTCGAGGAGCCTTAACTTTCACGAATTTGGCACGGTTATTTGCCCCCCAGGTATTAATCGTTATTCTCTCTCTCTCGTTCCAGTCTCTCACCAAGGAGCAGGCCGAGTACTGTATCGAACGGATGCGTCCGTACGTCGACGACAAAGGCCGAGAGATTCCGGGAGCCTACGACTACAAAACGTTCTGCGAGGAACTTTTCTCTTCTAGTTAGATTAGTGAGTCCAGCATAAAAATTAACACATTTGGTATGTTTATCTGAAGACATGAAACACCTCACGGAATAGAGTTACAGAAAGAATAACAAGTATAGCTCGTCCTAGAGACATCTGTATGGTCTTATTTACCAGTCAACATCACTTAGTCAGTAAGATAATAAGCATATCTTTCTGGTATCTACCGTGATGACTGTGTATAAGAGTTATCAGTTGTTACCAAGATAATGTTTAGCCAGGATATTGGAAAGCTCTATTATATTAGCAAACATGAGTTCATGTATCGTCAGAAATTTGGGCCAGAGCATGCTTAAACTATCAATAGGAAAGCCGTGTTTCCTAAGGCAGTGGTTCATTTTCAAGGCTTCTTGATCGAGAAGCTTTACTGAAGCATTTCATGTCTTGCTGTTTATTGATTGGTTCCGTTGAAGTGTTTTGTTGCTGTGTGTCAGAGTGTGACCGTCATTTAGCTGTAGTCCGGACGTTGACTCTGTTGAGGATTCATTAAACGTGGTAAAGCAATCAATATGTGGCTGGTGATTTTTATTCTAAGAAGGATAAGGAAAGTGAGAATCTAGGAGAAATGGGACAAGCAAATTTCAAATTCTCCGTTTTTGAACATCCGTTTAAAGGAGTCTTGGCTCAAAAGCAGTGTAAGTTTCAAGTGTACTTAGTTCTCTGCAACTGATCCTGGGGTTTCGAGTAGATATCTCTGGTAAATAGTTCGAATACGAAGTAATTGAATTTCAGTTTTAAGCACCTGAGCTTCGCCATGCTTACTTCATGGTAATTTATGACGTCATTGCGCGGTGAGAGTTCTCGATATGGAGCCGGCTAACCTGTTCCAGGCCCTCGGGAAGTGGGGACGATATAAAAGCGGGCAGGCGTTTTCTCTCCCAGTCCCCACTCGTCGGCCGCCCGCTTTTTCGATCGTCCCCCACTGACCGAGAGCCTGGAACAGGCTAAAAGTGTGCAGAAGATTTCTCTTTGGAACTATAAATATTCAACAGGAGAATGAATTATAAACGATCATATACATTAATATGTCGAATTATTCTCGTATTTTGCAACATAACTTCCGCCAGAATGCGCCACGTGTCTGTCGGGCATGCGGGACAAGCGGGTAGATAGGGACCAAGTCCTGCCGCAATCTTGAAAAGCAACGCCGAAAAAGTCATGGGCACGAGCGAAGTGGAAGAGGAAGAAACCAGGGTCGTGATCGTCTCCAATCCCCTCGCGATAGACATTAATCACATTTATCGTCAGTCAAGGTTGTAAAGCTTTATTCTTTCTGGTAGGGTGCATACGCTCCAAAAAATGTGACGCAAACGTCAGCCTTTCAAATTTTAACAAAACCGGAAGACATTGTAGTTAAACCTTCATTTCTTCGTACCGTGCGAATTAACATAACATTAACAGGCTCTTAACATCTTTAACTTCCTTGTTACTAATATTCGTCACAGAGTTAACTCGAACATTAGGGCAAGTTCGAAATGACAAAACAGTTAGTGGGGGAAGGGCGACTAAGAAAACGGACGAACGAATTAATTATTACTCGTCAAGAAATTCATACTGGATCAAAGTGCTGTCAATAACCATGCTCTACTAGCCTTTTGCTCAAAAAATTACAAAAATATCGCTTTAAAACTGAAACTACAACAACTGCGATTCTACGTCTTTAGTTACTCTGGTGAACAACAAATCCACTACTAATAAAAGTTTAGGGTTCTCTCGGCCTTATCGCCTGTTGGCCTTGAACCTCATATCCGGGGTTCCATTTTTTTTCAGCGGTCCAGGAGTCTTGGAGGATGGTGGAGAGGGACAATGAGCTTGCCGCCTGTTAACAGCATAACGCATGTCCGGGGTACCATTTTTCTTCAGAGGCCCATGCGAGGAGGCGTCTGCTGCCGCGGAACTTGCCACACAGCGTTGTTTGTTTACAGCGTAGCGCATGTCGGGGGTACCATTCTTCTTTAATGGCCTATACGAGGAGGGGCCTGTTTCCGCTAAACTTGTCACACAGCGTTGTTTGTTCGCAGCATAACGCATGTCCGGAGTACCATCTTTTTTCAAGGGCCCGCCGACGTAACCAGAGGGGAGTGGCAGTTCCGTATTCCGTATTCCGCTAGGGAGCCTCCCACTGACTGAAGTGTAAACTGAACTTGTTGAATAAGGACTCCTGATTACCTCTTTATTGGCTTTACAGCGCATGTCAGGAGTGCCATCTTCTTTCAGGGGACCGACGTAACCAGTGGGAAGTGACAGTTCCCAAGGAAACCGTGCTCCGCCAGAGGGTCTCCCACTGCCTGAAGTGCTAAGTGGACTTGTGACATAAGGACTTCTGGTTGCCCCTTTGTTGACCTTACAGCGCATGTCTGGACTGCCGTCTTTGTTCAAAAACTTTGTCCTATTTTCCCGTATCCTTTTGTCTGGGGTCCCGTTTTTGTTGACTCCCTTTCCCAAGTATAGTTGACGGTTTTCTTTACACCGCATGTCTGGTCGGCCGTCGACGCGCGTGCCGGGTCTTCTTTTGTGTGAGTGGTCAGGCTGGTAGTCGTCACGCGAGTATTTGCTGGGCTGGTAGCTGTCACGCGAGTAGCTGTCAAGTGAGGAGTTATCAGACTGGTAGCTGTCACGCGAGTAGTTGTCGGGCTGGTAGCTGTCAAGCGAGTGGTTGTCGGGCTGGTAGCTGTCACGTGGGTAGTTGTCGCGCTGGTAGCTATCAAGCGAATAGCTTTCAGGCTGGTAGTAATCACGTGAGCAGCTACCAGGTGAATAGCTGTCGGAATGATGGCTGCTATCAAGACGGTAGCCGTCATGCAGGCAGCTGTCACGCAGACTCTGTCGCTGGGCTCCTTCTCTATCGGACGCGGATGATGCATCGTCATGATCAGGCAAAAATGTTTCTTCTGAGAGCCTAGACAGGGTATCTTCATCGCGGCTTTCGAAGTCTTCAAATCCTTCATCGTAACTGCTTGAGCGAGCCTCAGATTGATCGTCAGCAGCCTGCAGCCTTTGTCGAGCAACCTCGATTACTTGGAGGCAACCAGGAGAATTTCCAATTCTGGGATCTTGCTCCAGGTCGTGAAGAAATTCCATGCTTGTCTGCTCCAACCGAGCACAGGACAACAGCTCGCTCAGGTGAGGTAAACGAGTCTCTTCGGCATGGCCTATCCATTTCATCACAACATCAACAACGTCTTCTTCGTACTTAATGTCTAGGCTGTCGTGCTGGATGAGTTCTTTAAGATCTTCGTAACCCAGAACATTAAATTCGTCTTCTGCAGACAACTCACTGAAATTGGCGATAATGTGGTTCTTGCACTCCTCTATAAGATTTAAAGTGTACACAGAATCCAGTTCCCTGCACAAGCATAGAAGGCCCGCCACGTCATAAGTGTGCAGTTTTGAAATCAGCCAATCACAGCAGACTTTAGCAAGTGCAGGCATCTCGTAGGTGCAAGCGGCTCTTAGCAGGCCAACGGCATTTCTGCGTTGTACGGTTACTTTTGCTGAGTAGATGTATCCGATGACATCTGCTAGAGCAATAGACGGAATATCCAATCGAAATTTCTTCCTTTCTCGGGCTGACGAACCGTGTAACAGAGCTTCCTTAAACGCAGGTGAAGCTGCCGCTATGACAGGCCCATGAACTGCAAACCGATTGTCGCTCTTCTGGTCCTCCAAGACTGTTGTGGTTAATTCCTTCTCCATGAACATGTCAAAAAGCTCTGAAAGCACATCTTCATGATTATCAAACGCAAATTTCACCGGGTCACTTCCTCGCTGATCCTCAAGCTCCCCACGGATTGTCGCTAGCACGTCAATGTCGTACTTGACTGCAAAGTTGTGAAGGTCATCCAGGATGTCTTCGTCCACTGTGACTTCGGACTTGTAGATGAATTCTCTGAAACACTCCAGCACCTCCTTGGTCAGTCCTTGAAGCACTATACTTCGCTTTGTACCCTCATTAGGGCTCCTCGATACAAGAAGCTTTTTGAGTGCCGGACTGCAAGCTGCGAGCAGCATCGAATGGAAGTTCACTTTGTAATCCTGTGCTCTGGTGGTCAGGCTCAAATCAGTGAACAATCCATGTTGAGATTGCATCTCGGCAAGGTTCTCCAGCAAAATTTTGGCATGCTTATCTTTTTCAAATATGTATGTAACGTCCTCGTCTCCTGTGGTTTCTTCTAGAGGCACATCCAAGAGGGAAGACATGCTGGAAAGTAAATGAAGTAGAACATTCTCTTATGACATGACTCAAAAATCAGTGTTAAGGGGCTATCAATGAAACACTTAAATACAACCAAATGTTTAGCTTATATTTAGCTTATATTTAGAAGCGGGAAATCCGAAGATATACGGGTAATAAGTCCTCCTTAGCGACAGCGTAGTCATTGAGGCTCTTAGACGGGGGAAATAGTCCAACCATGCATAAAAGCATTTCCGCGGGAAATTTACACTGACAAGGGAAAGACCGGAAACGTTGCCTCCTTAGCACAACCATACTTCCGGCTCAATTTTATTCCGCAAAGATATCGTAGTTCACCAGCTAAATTAGTATCTGATTGGCTAAATTTCGTGTAAATTGTTTACATTTCGGATTCGCAATATTCGCCACGGTTTGCAACAGATTCAAAATTGTGTAAATTGAAAGTGTCTGTGTTTGGTGGCGGACGCAAGGGAATGGCCCTGAAGCAAAGAAGTGAAACCAACTGCGAGCACACAGTTGGTTTCTTCTACGCCAAAGAGAAACCAGCTGCTCACGGGGCCTGATAACACTGTTCACTTAATGTGCAAAAATGTGACACTTCGAGCCAGGAGAGCTTCATAAAATTCACTCAAGTTCTTTTTCAGTCAAGGTTGCCATCTTTCATTGTATGGTTAGATTTCCCACTGGCCTATAAGCCAGAACCAACAAGCCATGTAATTTGATACATTACATATGTCAAATAACGTTTTCTTTTAGCATAACGGGCATTGAAAACTGAAAATTTACACCACCTCCTCCATATTATGATGTTAATAAAATTATTGCCGGGAAGAGGCACTCTTACTGAGGAACTGAAAGGAAAACTAGGTTGATTCCCTTTCAAATGTTACGTGGGTGATGTATGTTGGATTTGCATATGCGATGGCCACTGGCCCATGTGGCTACTTCCGCTTTCGTTCACTACCGTACTTTCGGTTTTCTTGAAATAGTTCTCTTTCAAATAAAAGTTTATGTTTTTTTTACCGTTAAAGCCGGGTTCACTGCAAAAAGCTGAAATGTATCTTTTACAATATACTTCGCCTTTGCCCTTCGAAGGGCATACTCTAAATTATACGAGCGAAGTCAATGAACAGAGTGAACCTCAACTATACGTTCAGCGATGTTGAGTGATCGTAACTGCCTAAATGTTTCGCCATTACGATTTTTACTCAGCTTCCAAAGCACGAAAAAGTCGAAATTTGTCTCACAGGCAGACACAGTAAAGAAAAAGCTGCAATTTTGTGCTATTTTTTCGCAATTCTAGATAGTAGCGGCCAAAGTTTTGGAGAAATTTTACCTCATAAGCACAATGATCTTTCGATCGAGATCTTGTGTGGTAACTTTCTTAAACACCAACTGTAAAAAGTTCATATTGATTTCTCTTCTAAATGTAAACTTTCTTGACATAGCTAACCGATCACTAAGTTCTAAGGGAGTACTTTCGCATTTGTCAGTGATTTGTAGCTAAAACATTTTCAATTGAAAGATCGAAGTGTCATATAACCAAGTTGAGCCAAGAGTGACATTACCAGTCACAACACACATGTATTATCCCTACCTTGGTACAAGATTCTGGCTTGTGAACGAAGATTTTAGGCTGATTGAAGTTTAGAACATCAAGCGTGGACACACCTACGAATTCGGTTGGAGTGTTGACTGCCGAAAGTGAAATGCCTTTATCCTTTATGGACCTGTATACCTCCATTCAGCCGAGACGCCGCTTTCGTGACGTCATAGCGGTTCCCCGGTGATCATGTTTCCATATTTTCATCGAGGTTCCGGTATTGTTTTTCATTGCTTCAGCACTTTTGGCGACAAAGGGAGAGAAAATATATATATGTGATTAATGGAAAAGTTAATAAGTTGCTTCTTGGAGATTTCTACGGTATTAATTAAATACCTAGTGATTGTGACTTAACGCTAACTATTTTCCGCGTGAACGATATAACAACTGTGTGACTGGAACGAGACAGCTGGTTTGTGTGAAAGTTTGTCCAGTTTCAAGGCTGCCATCTAGTTCAGTTAGTGAAGTTAATGCTTATTTAGTTAAATTTTTCACTTTGATCCTCAATACTCCCTTGAGGGTGATGATATAGTAACTGGTAAATAAGTATTAGCCACTGGACCGAATAGGGAACATTTCATGAAGACATGATTGATCATCGCAGTTATATACACAGCTTATGATTAAGCAGCTGTGAAATGAAAGCCTGAAAAAAATTCAGGTTTCAAAAATCAGTCGAGCGTGCAGCACGAGGCCGATTTGAAATAATAAGAAATTACAAATTTCGATATTAAGAAGAACTTCTTTTAGCGAAAAAGTCAGTTGTAATGAAAGAAGCCGTGAAAGTCCACTTAATTGACGTGCGGATGGCACAGGTGCAGGAGCTGGTATCATGTAATTCAGTCTCTGAACCTCCGTTTGTTATCTGTTCCCTGCATTTAGATAGGGTTAAGAGAGAGGCATAAAGATTTCGAGGACTGGACTAGGCATTCAGTTACAATAAGTTGTAATAATAGACCAATTTCGATATATTAAAATTCAGCCTAACACAATAGACCTCAGCACAAGGCTCTGGGGAATAAACCCCACAAACTCTGTAGTTATTCCCCAGAGCCTCGTACTGAGGTCTATTGTTTTAAGTTCTAATTAGACACCCACGTGATGTCGCAAAATGTTGCTGAAAATAATCGCGAGGAGAACCAACCCAATATTGTTGTAGATCTAGATACAATTAAAGACAGAATAAATACATAAATTTCTGAGCATACCTTTAAATAAGCATGAGCAGACATTTTCGGGAATTTTCCCAACAAAAGGCGCTAATAATGAAAAACGTACCTACCATCACTTAATGTCAGGGTTCATCAGAGCTTTTGCGTGCGCAGCAAAAGGACACCAACCTCGTTCCCAGGAATTCCCCCTGGGAACGAGGTTGATGGTGTAGTTATATATTTATCCAAGTCTGATTTTTTTTTTCTTTCGGGATTTTGGGTATATCCAGCAAGTGTTTTATTCATTGGCTTTAGCTCTTTTCTTCTTAAACTCCCCCATAATATAATTATACAGTGTTTTTGCATGAAGTCCAGAAGACCGGAAGTGTGTGAACAGAAAGGGTCACGCGAAGTTTGATTTGTCACGCAATGTTTTCGTCAGAATAAATTGTGTGACAAGCTATTACGTATCTCCGCCCACTCGTTCTACGTAGGAGACTAAAGTTGTTTCATAGATAGAAAATAAAGTATGACGTCTGATCTGTTATGCAGTAAAATTTTCTCTGAACCGTGAAAATCTAAAGTTGATTTCGCGTTTCTGCGGGTGAAAAAACATTTGATTTCTCTCGAAGGGTCGCTTGCACCTGTAACTATTTTTGGTACGTGCGGTATTACCCACAATGCATTAAATACAAAATGGCTGTACACTGCAATATGGCGTAGATCTCCAATTAAATAGTTATTTCTTCTTCTGTCAGAGATTATGCCGTTTTTTAAGTCAAGAAAAGTCAGTAAAGATGAAGCAAAGAAACGGGTGGAACGATGTCTGGTCGTAGTAAGTGTGCTTTTGCAGATTACGTAGCTTATTTCTTGAATAGTTGTTTTGATCTGATGTTCGATCGGTCGGTAACCAGTTTCCTCTTTGGGTATGTTCGCAAATTAATTAGTCGAAAACGTTACTAATAATCCTTGTCATTCTAAGAACTCGGTTTCTTTGATAGTTGGAGTCTTACGAAGAAACTAGAAAAAAAGCCAAGAAACACAATTTCATTACCTTTGTAGGATATACCTGGATGCTCTTTCTGATTATCAGAAGAGCTGATCTGTTGGTTAGCATGATGGTAACAGCTCGGTTTGCAAGCCACAGACTTCTCAAAAGGCTGTCGTTATCACGAGCTCTCCGTTGCAATATTTAGTATTGACTGACTCTTGAAACCAGCTTTAAAATTTCCATGGTTACTACATCTTACATCTGCCCAATGTCTTCTTTTCTTCCTGTTGACCCAAATGCACGGCTTTTTCGTACAAGACGAGTTTTCGTCATTGCTTGTCCCACAAAATATTGGTCAACACTATTCTGTGTTGTTTTCATAAATTCTTTCCTCAAAAGAGTAATGTCTTCCTACCTAACTGACTTGAGTATTGAACATTGCCAAAATAACTTGCCATGTTTATGTGATGAAAGGTACATTGTGAAGTCCTTGCAGGTGAACGTTTTGTTTTGAGCAGGGCAGGTCAATATTTTTCTTTTACTGTGCCTCTCTTTACCCAGAAATAGTGTTCAGCGAACCTGGCAATGCTTGGGGAAACAGGCAATTGTTACAGGGCAATGGGAAAATGCTATGGAAACTGGAATGAGCTCTGACAGTTGTAGGCCAGTTTGACCCAAGTGCAATATTTTACCACACGTGGCCTGGGATTTCACTTGCTGTACAAAATATTTTTCCACTGAAATGGACCATGCCCGAATAACCTTTTAACTTAATTGCAGAGTGACAATTGTTACAGCAAATTTCAATCCAGCTTAGGAGTGTGACCTTACCGCTGATATTTTCCGTGTTAGAGGAAAGATTGATGGCTCTGTAAATTGTAGTACTTGTAGGAGGCTTAGGTCTCCGTTTCTTGATCTTAACAGGTCTTAAAGTCTAGTTATTAATTAAAACTCATGTGAATACAGAGCTTTCTCATTTTTTTTAAGCTTTTCAGTACTGAAATTATTTATTAATAGATTGTATCTTCAGATCAGTTAAAGCATACATTTTCTGCTTGTGATTTCAATTTTCTTTTTTTTTTCTTGTTAAGGGAAGAGAGTCTCCAGATCCAGCTTTTGATTTGTCAAATTGTGGAGCAACAGAGGTATATATGTGCTCTAAATCTATCCATGCCTATTTGATTAACACTGATAATATTAACTAGTCAGTAATTTGGCTTACAAGTGCACAGTTCAAGCAACAACTGGTATGTGATCTCACTGATGGATACAATTATTATTATTATTATTATTATTATTATTACTATTACTGTTATTACTATTATTATTATTATTATCATTATCATCATCATTATCATTATCATTATGACTGCCACTTAACTGCTAGCCAAGCATGTGTCTGCAAATTTTAGAAAGTGAATAATGGCGTGAACTTGTGAATTAGTGTTTTAGGATCTTTTTAATATTTTTATTTTCATCAAAACTTTAGTTTATTATTATTATTATTATTATTATTATTACCATNTTTTTTTTTGCAATTGCAGATTTATTATCAGTATTTTTCTATAATGCTGAAATACCGGTTTTAGAAATTACTTATTCTAAACAACAGCTTATGTCCTTGTTGATTTTGTAACATTATCCTGCCTTGGCAGCAAATAGGCATCCTAGATTTTTGTAAATAGTTTTGTCTTGAGTCTTGGCTTGACTTCCTCAGTCATGTTTTTTGGTGAGGTACTGAGTACACAGTACTTTCACAATGCGTCTCTTGACCACTAAGGTGTATGAATGGGTACTGACAAATTGTTGAGGCAATGTGGAAACAATAGCATTCATGGGAGTAAGTGAGAGGGGTATTTGATTGATGAGGATTGCATGTATCATATACCAAATTAAATGTTGGGACTAACGTTCTCCTGTGATAGCTAGAATTGTTAGCAATACAGGTGTAGACTTGACTGCAATACATTTCTCTTCTAAAATATGTAAATAGTTCAGAGAATTAAGTGGTACACTAAAAAATTTAACAGCATTTTCCCTTTAGAGGTGATGATTTAGAACCTTCACATGTTCAGTGTTACTCTTACTACTTATTAAGTTTACTAATAGTCATTAGATTTCATTTTTACAGTGAAATCCCCTATACCCTTAAAACATTGATTTGGAGGTTTGGAACCTTTTAGGATGTCTTTAAAGCTTCTGCAGGGTTGAAATTAGAGTTGCTTGCAAGAAGCTGTTTGCAGCTGGTTAAAAAAGGGAAACCCTGATGTTAAAATAACACATCTTAAGGCATTGACAAGGTTTGTTATGAATATACCCATGAAGAACCTTCTTTTATTAAATATGCAAATTATGCAAGTTTGATGGCCATTGAAGCATAATATGCAATTGAGGGCACGTGATAATCGTATTTTCTCTGCTTGATGTATCTTTTGAAGATTTAAAGGGACGACTCAAAGGACCAAGTGATGATTCCTGATAAAATCTATCCAGGCAAAAATTTTTTTGTAGTTTGTGTCAGCATTGACCTTTTCAAGTGGGGCTGAATAGGCAGTGGAATTAAATGACTTTGACAATATCAAGTGTGATCTACCAACTTAGAAGGAACTGTTTAGAAAACAATTTTGTTTAAATGCTACACATGAAGAATTTGAAATATGATAATTTATTGGTAAATAATGAGTTAAAGTGTATTGAAAGCAAAGGCCTTTTAAAACACTCTTTTTATTGGTGTCCTTCTGACTGTTGTTTTACTCGTGTGAGTCATTTCACATTTGTCGCACAAGCCCTTATAATAAATAGGTCACACATATGATATGCACTGCATGTGACTGGGTGTTTTCACTGGGAAAAGTTTCTTAAAATTAGCAATTAAAGATGCTCTGAAAAAAGGAAATGAGATAAAAAAACCGGCAGGTATATTTTGCAAGTTGCAGGTTGAAATTTAATTATAACTGGAAAAACTGCTGGCAATTAAAAGAAATGTACAGGTGGTAGACTTACTGTGACTGTTACATGACTTTGTTGACAATCGCTCAGAAAGGTGGCTTCCACTTAAGTGCCAAACTGGCCAAAGCAATGGGAGGAGAGTATATTCCTATGATTTTAAGCCTGCAATGAATTATTGTTTTTGAAGAAACATCTGAAATATCATCTGAAATATCTAGATAACAGCAGACACGTAAAGATTTTAAGGAAAACNATGCTGGCCAGCAGTATCTCCCAGGGTTTTGGTGCGGGGTGGCTGGGGGTTTCGTGCAGGGGCACCACATGGTTTACAGTTAAGCTTCAGATGTCAAGTCATTCCGCGTTTGTTATCGCTATCGGATAGTTCTCATGGTGTTTTTATTCCCGGCCCATCCCTCCCTCTAGTCATGGTAAGTATGTGGTAAGTATCTGTGTTTCCACTGTTTTTCAGTGTGCCGGTGCCGGTTGGGTGGTTGCTGCTCACAGGGTTCTCATGGTTGCCCTATGCGTTCGGCTCGGTGGCACTCGTGGCTTCACCCTCCTTTTAGGCACCACTCCCCAAGCTCATCTATTGTTGATGAGTTTAAATAAATATAAAGCTTGATCAGCTTCAAAACACTTTGTTGTTTGCCTCACACTTTGGAAGAACGTGGTTCTAATCAAGTACCTTTTTCTTATTTATCAAACAGAATTAAATGATAACTCATAAATGGTCTTACTAATAATTTCCTGCACTTGTTATGCTATTAAACTGAGCAGTGAAAGTATTTTTCTCAACAGGTCTTAGATCTTCATAACAATCAAATAACTACACTTCCAGCTGATATTCATGAGCTAAAGGCATTGCAGGTACATATTGTTGAGCCTTTGCTTTTCTGTATAAGTAGAGACCTTTGAGGAGGTCAAAGTTCTCAAACAAAAAACCTTACATGTGGGAGGAAGTACATATTTATAACATATTTATTACCAAAAAAATGGACAGACAGGCAGAGAGACAAACAGAACAAATGGGTGGACAGACAGACAGACAGACAGACAGACAGACAGGCAGACAGGCAGACAGGCAGACAGGCAGGCTGATAGAAAAAGTTCTGAACAGATAGACAAATGAATGGGATCTCTGTACATCATTTCTATATTATGACTTTGGTCCACTGTACCATAATAATAATATTATTATTCTATTTTTGTTTTTATTTTTCAGGTGTTGAATGTTCAAGGAAATAAGCTCAAAGCTCTTCCTGCAGCCATTGGAAACTTGACATCTCTTCAAAGCTTAATCCTGCAAGGTTTGATTATTTTTCCAGTCACGTTTATTTTCCTTATTTGTCATGTCTAAAGGTGAGTAGGTAATTATAAGCTCCCCACTGATGATGTTATTTTTCTTTAACAGGAAATGATCTTCGCTCCTTACCACCTGAAATTGGCAATTTAAAAAGCTTGAGAACACTTAATATATCAGAAAACAGCAACTTACCTGGAGTTCCACCCACCTTGGCTCGTGTAAGAACTTTAGAGGTGAGATTCAGAACACTTATAATTATAATTAAATTTTTGGTAGTTGGGTCTGTAGCCATTAGCTACATCTCAAACTGGAGAGACAGTGTTTCATCACATTTTTTTTGATCAGTTGTTAAGAAAATTGGTTGCAGTTTAAGATTGTCAAAAGGCCTATTAATTTTCTTTCTATATCAGTCAATCTTAATTTATTTTTTTATAGTTGGGCCCATATTTGAGTTTCTGTCTCATGTATTGTACTATTTATTTTTCAGACTATTATTCTTGATGTGGACAAAATAACTTTCCCACCTAAAGGTAATAGACAGAAGAAAGTTATAAGTTTAGTTTTGATTGTGATAACATTTTTATCAGTTTGAATGGTCAAATTTTAAAAGCTACTTGGCTAAAGGAAACTCACTGTTTGGTGGTAAACTATTCCTTACCAGAAAAGCTGTGACTGATACATTAACCAAATTGTAAAATGCGTTGGACCCCTATCTAGGTTTATTAGTGCAAGCTAGGGTTACGTTTTTGTGTTTTTGGGCAAGATGCTCTGTCTCTTTCAGTGAGGCACTGACCTGTAATGGACCTATAGTGGGGCCACTTTTAAGTCTCAGTAATGTAGCTAAATGTAATTTAGGCTCAGTTAAACACGAAACAAGATTGCGGGCCAGCAGTCTCTCTCAGAGTGGGTATGGAGTGGCTGGGGGATTTGTTCAGGGGCACCTGGATTTTACAGCTCGGTTTTGGATGTGAAGTCATTCCATGCGTTTTTCACTGCTGGACAGTTCTCGTCAAGCTTTTCTCCCAGCCCAACCATCCCCCTTTGGCTTCATGGTAAGGATGTGGTAAGTATCCTGTGTTTCCACAGTTTTTTCAGTGTGATGTTGCCTGGTGATTGCCACTCACAGGGTCGTCTTGGATACCCTATGCACTCGGTTTAGTTTCCTCTTGGGCTCCACCATCCTATCAGGCACCATTCCCCAAGCTCATCGACTTTTGATGAGTTTAAGTGCCGTTTGGTATTCTTGTAGTAACCAATGTTGTTTTTTCTTCTTAGATGTGTCATCTGAGGGGACAGCATCAATTATGAAATATCTTTGCAAAGGTAGATCACTCAAGATATGAATTGTATAATTATTATGCAGTATATTTAATACTACTGACTAAGCTCTGTTTTACTGGTGTTGTCATGATTTTTTGTGTTTGTTTTATCTCTTATTAGTGGCTGGAATTGAGTATGTTCCTCCATCCAAACATTTGTTAAATGTGTTAGGTATGTATTAAAATGATTTGTATATAAATACATGTTATGTTGTAAAGGTTGCTAACTTATTGTTAATATTTTGGCATAGGTTATTTGTTGCAAAAAAGCCTAGTTTACTAAAGTAGCATGCCCTTCCCCTGTGTAGTTAACATATAGCAAGAACAAGATGAAAATGGATGCATGCTACCTTTTAACATGTTAGAGATTAAATTATAATAGAATAAATATCAAATACTAAAATAAAATAAATGTCATATTATGAGATACCAAAATAGTTTTACATGTATATGTTATTGCTAAGCATCTTGTGCAGAGGGTGCACAGCAGAATTTTGTTGTCTGTGTTTGGAGCTAGATGCGTGTTTCTTACAGATCCAGTTGGAAATGGAACAGCTAAAGATAAACGATTGGACCCCACTCCAGTGGATCAGCTTTTGGCAGTGAGTTGTTCAGTTTTAAAAATCAACCTAAATGATTAGGCTCTGCATAATATTTTTCATTGCTGATCAATCAGCTTCTACAAAAATAAAAGTTTTTACAATAATTATTAAAAGTGGTTTGCCTGGTGGGATTTCTAGACAAGTATTTGTTCAATTTATAAGATAACAAGTCAGAAAAGAGTTTGTTTCTTTTGCATTTTCATGCTTACTGGAAGACATTCATTTTGTTTATTGATTTCCTAATTTCAGCTTATGTTATGATGTTTTATGTTTTGTTCATAATTTTAATTAATTATAATAAAATCAATTACCAGTAACCACTTGTAATGGTCTGAATTGGCAAGGTCACTGTCAGGTGAGAACAGGTGAACTCAAATCATTATTTTTGCACATTTCAACTCAAGATTGCATACCATTCAGTTCCACTCTTTCCATGTTTTTACACATATGCGGACATTTTTGTTTCAGAGCACTTTATCACAGCATGAGGCAGAAAAGGTTGGCATGTTGGTTTTGTTTTGCTTAGGTTTTCTCTTTTCGTTATTTTATTGCATTTTGTCTTCAGTTTGTTTGATTCATTTTGATTTTTCAACACTCAGCACATTTATCACAAGTATCATACTGCATGCATTTCATGTATCGCATAACACAAAAAGCCTCTTTTTGACCTTCTAAATTAAAACCTTGTGCTAGGCTGTTACCATCAGTCTAAAAAGATGTCAAAAGGGTGTTGACCATTGATGGCATTATACAATACTACCACTTATTATGCGACGAGTTTCACGCAACAGAAAGATGAACCAAATCCAGTGCTGTGATTGGCTCAGAACAACCTACTGTTTCCTGCCAGAGAATGGTTTTCTTTATGCCATATTAGAAATTCAAGATGACTGGATAATGGTCTTGATCTTTTTTGCTGTTTTCTTTCTATGGATCTTGATTGCATCTCGGTCCATGAACACGCAAAAATATTCAGCCATCTTGACATCATGCTTGGTAAAAATGAAGTCCAACCTCTGCTCATTTTGATCCTCAGGAAAAAAGAAGACAGCAGATGATTGAAATAGAGAAACAAATTCAGGAAACAGAGCTTGAACAGCAGGCCCTGGCTGCGAAGGCCAGTAAGCAGCGCATTGACCTTATGGACAAGATACGAGTGGTAATGAAAATTAATGTTTTTAACCACACCATTCCCGAAAATAAAGACTGCAAGCCATCCCAAATTTACCTTGTGGTTCAATGAGTGAGAACTTCTTCTAAGGCCCTACAACCAGATCTCTATCTCCTGGTCGATTTGTTGTTCTCTCTCATGAACTTGGAATGGCAGGAAGTCATGACAAGCGACTTTATTAGCATGCTAACTACATGCAAGGCAGTTGGTGTGTGTGGAAAGCTAGGGGGCCATTTTTCAGCTGAGTGCAGGTTGTTCACCACAAAACGATAGGAAGCTTTAGCAAATCACTATGGCTGCCAACGTGAACATCACCAAACAAAAGGTTTCCTGAGTAGAACAATGGTTCTGCGTGTGAGTTCTGACTTTTGTTACATTTCTTACTTGTCATCTGCAAAGCAACAATGTGATGAGTTCTGCGTCTTTTGGTTAACCTGAACTGCAACAGCTAACTTTCATCAGTTTTTCTTTTGGAATTGAATGCTGTCATTACATCTTTAGCCTGAGCAAGTTTTTAGACTGATAGGCATACTAAACAGATCTACATAACTGTGACATTCCACAGTAAAATATAAATCGATTTTGTGCAATGTGTCATCTTGGCATCGCCATCGTCATTCCTAAAAGTCCCTAATCTCTGCTATAGATTTGAATATGATTGTTATCAAACTAAAAGCAGTCCTAACCTGAAAATGTTTGTGAAACAGACATTATGGTGCCCTGCAAGCGAGCCCTCTTGGACAAGAATTTCCAAGAGAGCTTTCTTGCAGGCTAACTCAGTGTTCAATCATGTTGAACTTGCTGTACTTGTAGAGTGAGTTCAGGTTTTTCTTGCTCATGGCAGCTACTGTACATCTTGTTTGTAGCTTAAAAAAATCTTCCAAAAGTTGTACCTTAATTTTCAATAAAAAGGAAATGTAAAGTTGCAGAGAGACACAAGGAATGCTGCCTCTGAACTTAGAATATTAACAATGAAGTGTTTTCTATAGGCCGAAGCAGAAATGGATGACCGCACATTATGGAAACAACAGCAACAAGATCTTGAAAGACAAAAACTGGTGTCAGTAATGGCAGCAGGTATTCATTCACTGTAGATATGTTTATAGCCTGCGTGTGGCTGATGTGTTAGGCTATATAGTCCAAGTGGTAAACTCTGGCCAGCAAGGAGATCGCTGCAAAATGGCAGAGAGCCCTCCCCCCTCCTCTCTTCCCACCCTCCCATAATCAGATGCAACATCATCCCTATACCCTATAGACTGAGAGAGAGGCAGTAAAAAGAGAGGTCCTGGGGACAAGAAGCCCATTCCTGGTGGCTTTGCCATTCTAAAGCTTTACCACACATGTGACAGCTCAAAAAGGGAAGGCTATACAGATCATTAGCACCAGAAATCCTTTAAACTCTTGGCAGTATTATCAAAACTTAAAAATATATATTGACCCCTGGCATATTTTTAGTTTTGCTCGCCAAGAACTTTTAATTTTTAGATTGTGCCTTTTAACAGGAGAGGTGATGAATTATTATTTTGTTGCAGATGAACAGCTCACCAATGACACTGTGGCGATGATATTACAAGTTAATGAAAGGTAAATCCAACAAAGCCTCTTTGTCGGGATGGTTTTTTCAACGTGACTTAATTTACATTCTACTTCATACTTTTTTTTTTTGGTGAGAAAATTTACGTAACAAATAAGTATTTAAGTCAGGTGGTACATGCTTAATCCCTCAGTTAGGAAGTACTAACCATTAAATTTTCTTAATTATATTTCAGAGCTCAGAAGGCGGAAATGATACTTGATGAAATGGAGAAAGAAAGGTACCGTGTTCCGTTACTTAAAGGTTCCTTGACAAAGAAAAGTCAAAACCACACTGACACTTTATGTTGTACTTACACGTAGGTTAGGACATTTCAAAACTCCATTTTCCATCAGCAAAAACAAATAATCTTACACGCGATCACTGCAAATGTGGCATTAATTATGGAACAAGGCATGGGACACTATTTTATCGTAGGTTTCCCAACAATTTGCCGGATCCCATTTGTAAACCTTTGTAGAAAGACACAGAGTGACTTGCTCAGAAAAACGCGGTTCCATTCCCATACCGCTGAGTCCGCTAGTCAAGTTAAAGAAAATGTTCAAGTGTTGTTGTTTATAGTGGTCAATGCGCTTAGCTACACCAAGCTAGTTCAGAGGCGTGCAACTTATACTGAAAGAAACGAATATATCAACTTTAGAAACATAATAGGCTTAAAAATCCCAGCTGGCAGTAGGCAGGCCAGTTGGCTATTTACAAGCATCACCGTGAAGTTAAACTAGGGTCTACCGAGAAACAACTCCAGATAAGTGGTCAGAGCGGGACTTGAACCCGCGACCTCCGGATTTCGAGTCCGGCGTCCTAACTACCGGCCATGCTGCCTCCCCTAATCCATGAGTCACAAGGAGAGAAGAGAGAGTTGTTTAGAGGGGATTAAATAATCCGATACACGTTGTTTTACTGTACAGAATGAGAACTGAAGAGCTGATCAAGGTCACACAGGAAGAAGCTGAGAAACTACGAAAGGAGGAAGTTCTAGGTTGGT